AAAACAACAACAAATCACATATCACAAATTGGAGAGGGAGCTCGGGCGCTTTAGCGGAAAACAAACATAAAAACAAATATAAAAACAGTAATGCCTGCGACCCATACAACACCCACCACCAAGCGCCCATAAAATGCCATTCAACGCACATTCACTATTTGAAACAACAATCTCCAGTTTTGAAAAGCGAAAGTGATGAATTGACGGACACACTGCCAGCCCAACACACAAACTTCTCGCACCGGCTTGGTACTTTATGCACTACCTTAGTTAGCAATGCTATCCTGCCATCACCCGCCGCACGCCAAGTGCTGCTATTGCATTTGCTTAGCTTATTTCTTGGAATGCATCGAAGCAACACTTGGTTTGGATCGCAACACATCAATTTCAGATGTAACAGCGGAGATTGGGTGCTTTGTATCGTTCAATATCACTACATACACACGTACCCTGTATATATTTATTTGCAAATCTCTGCAAATCCTCGCAGAAATATTTGAAATTGTAATTGCTGCGAAATCAGGTTTTGCTCCAGTGCAAAACGGTTATGTGTGACTCCCACTCTTCACACCAGTGAATAACTGCTTGACCATCCATTTATGCGAGACAAACATTTTGCTTCCAGTAACAAAACAAAGAAAAGCAAAAAAAAACGCTTTAAGAGCTAATGAAAACCCAAGACCAAAGTGAGTGGAGCTAATATTGTTGAGCTGTTGTTCAACGCCGCCCACATGTGGAGAGATGCATGTTTCAAATAGCTGGGGGTACGGCGTTTAGCGGTGGTCGTTGCGATAATATGATAATGACCTTGTCTCTCCGCTATCTTTGCGATTGCAACGTTTTCTTAAAATGTCACCTAAGTCGTACACACATACATATTATACATACAAAAAAAAGATACCACTTTGTTACTGGCATTGCCTTGCGAATGCGAAAACCCTAAACGAGTTTAAAAAGTATGATAAAGTCGTTCTCAAACCATATCGTGTCCAAGTGACTCATGCGCCACCAAGCGTTGTGAATTTTCGTTAAGATATGTGAAGTCTCACACCATAAATAAAAATGGTGAACCCGAGCCTGATGATGGAAAAGATGTTCCCGTAGCCGGTTGTGATAAGTTCGAATAACGACAGCCCACTAAAAGTATAAAAAGCGGCGAGAGCCTATGGCTTACCGGCAGAGCTACTCAAATGTACTGGGGAAGGACTGGCAAGGTGGAGGTATTATCTTCTTTGCAAAATATGTGCGACGATTGGAATATAAGTGCGGCCTGCCGAATCCATAAAAAGGGGGACCAACCAACGGTTTGCGTTGAGTAAACCTCCTTTATAACGCTTCCTGTTTTATGACTAAGCCTTTAGCCCAAAATATTCGAAAATATTCTTGAGAAGAATAGAATAGAGGAGATTCACATCACATTTTCATCGATTTCAAAATAAGCTTCGCAAACACGAAATTGTTCTGCCGCTAAACAGACAAAGTGACTCCTTATCGAACAACTTCTTCAATTTGATGCTGGAGAAAATAATTCGTGCTGCAGAGCTGAATAGAAAAGGGACAATCTTCTGTAAGAATGTACAGCAGCTGGCGTACGCCGATGATACTGACTTTATTGGCCTCAACCATCGCGCCATGAGTTCTGATTTCTTCAGGCTAATTAGGGTACCAAAGCTTAGGGTCTGGTGGTGAACGACGGCAAGGTCATGTGAACCGGATGGATAGCAATACACCGGCTTTGAAGATATATGATGCAGTACCCGCCGATGGAGTCAAAGGAAGGAGAAGACCTCTACTCCGTTGGAAAAACTAAGTAGAAAAGGACCTGGCTGTGCTATAGTCGCTTTAGCAGTGTCTACGAGAGTAAAGAGGAGAGCGTAATAAGTTCAGACAACAAAATATTAGGTGCCCAAATGGCTATTGGGACAAAGTAAACCTTTGTTTACTTATTTTATGCTGGCGAGTTGATATAAAAAGTTGTGTTTAACAGATGCTGCAATTGGGACACCAATTTAATTGCAAAAAACTAACAAAAAATATAGTCAACAAATTCCGAAACTTTGAAAAAATATTTACATTTACAAGAATTAAGTTCGCCATAACGAAATCTCATGAACTAAACACGCATTCGACTTTTTATTGTAATGCGGAACGTGCTATGTTTTATTTTTAAATTGAAGAATTTATAGAGTGAAGAAAAAATTGATGTCATTACGAAATATGCATGCAACGAAAATAGAGTATGAAGAGGAAGCTGAATAGGACTGAACTTCAGCTGTTAAACTCAGATACCTAACGGTGTCGGAGGAAAATGCGTCTTAAGAGGATCGCTGTCAAAAGCTAGCTACGAACTTTTACTTTCTTAAATTAGACAACTTATAAAATATCTTCTAGCAATACAGCTAATTGCACACATTCATATATACATATATGTGCATACATACATATATACATACATCTATGTATATAAATGCAATGCAATGCAATGTTTGCAGGAAAAATGTCGTGCACTCTGTTGAGGTGGCGCAGAATTTAGGGAGAGCCATTTGCATATGTCATGGAGCTATTTCTATTTTTATCAACACAAGCACAAAGGCCGGATACACAGAGATGCTTGATTTTGAAAATCTTTACTTTTGAATACAATACAAACCTATTGGGCTGCCCCGAAAGAAAGTAAATACATTTTTCTAAATTTTATAATAAACTTTAATCAGTTATGTAATTTCCTTTTTGTTCGATGACCTTTCGTCATCTTTCCGCCAACATCATTATTTCACGCTCTTAGAACTTCTTGCTTTGATCTGCGAAAAAGTGAACCAAGTGCAATTTTACTGACTCGTTATTTTCGAAGGTTTTATCATTTAATGAACTCTGCCAAGATCGAAACAAATAGTTGTCTGACGGTTCAAGTTCAGGGCTAGATGGTGGATGCTTCAACAGTTCCCAGCCAAGCTTTCTATGTTGTTGACGAGTGACCAAAAGTGTGTGCGGTCTAGCATTGTCCTGGTGGAATATGACACCCATATGATCGACCAGTTCTCATGGATGGATGTATTCAATTTGTCCAGTTGTTCACAATAGACATCCGAATTAATCGTTTGTTTCCTTGGAGGCAGCTCAAAATATACCACACTTGCGCTGCAACGCCGTCTGTATGAAAAATCGTCGGTTTCTTTTGGGGCAACCCAATGCATACATATGTATGTATGTACGTATGTATGTATGTATGTATGTATGCATGTATGCATGTATGCATATACATAAATATGTATGTAGCAATTGCCTTACTCGCATTCAGTGTTCTTTGTTTTTATTAAAAAAAAATAATAATAATAATATACCACCATATCGTGCGGTAAGGAAACCACCACCTACGGAACGAGGGCCCAAATTCCAAATTGTAAGTAAATTCATTTGAATTTGTTTACACTTTCGTCTTTGCACTTATTTTGTATCGAGGTCAATGATGTGGCGCTCATTTCAATTAGAGGGCTTCTTTGGAAGGGAAAACAAAAATTTGGGAAAATAAAAAAATAAAAATTTGTGTCAGAACTTAATGTTTAATGTTTGTATTATCGATTGAAACGTTGAAAGATGCCAATACTCAAAACGCATAATTTTCGTTGTGAATTTGATTTTGTAATTGACTTTTTTTTGAAAACTTCAAATTCGTTTCTGACCAAATTCAAGTAGAGCCTTTTCTTTGAGTTCTGTCCACTATTTGAGCTGGAGCTTATAATAGTTTTCCTTGAATTACCTTGAATAAATGGCATTCACTTCGTTTAAAAAATAGCCTATCCTATATTTTTCTGCACACAAATAATTTATTTGGCGTTCGCTAATTTTTCACAACTCAATGTTTATTCACAATTAACCCTTTCTAGAGCTCCATTCGCAAACCTTCAGCGAATCCGCCCCGATCCTATTTATGTCGTAATATGCAGTAATTAAGAATGATGGTTGGATTAGTGATTATTTTATAAGTTTATAAAGGAAATAAAGAATACCTATTACATGACCCTGCTTAAAGACAATATTCTAAATTAAGTTGCTGCCTTTCATGTAAATTAAAAATCCTTATGGAGTTATACCCGGCATAAGCATAGCAAAAACCTAGTTTTATGTTATATTATGTTGTTTTAAGAGTTTTTTTTCCTGAAAAATGAAGAAAAATATCCGATTTTATACATGGTATTAAAAAAGTTCGATAAACATGATTTTGGCTCCATAGCTCATAAAATTTTGTTCCAAAAAATGCTAATAAGAACCCAGTTATATACATAAATAAAGTAGGTAGAGTCGGAGGAATCGGGAAACAAGCAAATAGCTTTCGTTAGATTTTGGCAATTATTAGAAAGTTAACTTGTTTCATCAGCTGATAGGAGGTTAATTGCCAATGTGGAATATTTTCTTTTTTACTCAACTCCAACTTTCAGCAGCACATAAAATAAATAAATAAATAAATATGGTTATTTCTTCTGCGGTTTAGGGATTCGAGAATTTAAATCCAAAAGTTCCTGTGGCAAACGGGTCTTTATACCGGAACGACTTGGGGATTTATCTGACCAAAAATTGTCACTCCCGCAACATTCCCCAAAAAATAATAAAAAAAAACATAAGATTGGTTATTTTCATTCATTAATATCTAGAGTGTATTAACAGACTCTAAAAATAAAAATAGTAATATCATTGACGATCGTCTAAAGCTTATATTCAAACTAAGTAATGGTGAATACCGCAAAGCCTTCTTATCTGATAACCCAACACTGATCAGCTGTGTTAAACTACCTTTCGCAATTCTTCTGGCTATTTAAAGATTCTTACTTTTTCACATAATCCTTTTTTGCCAATCAGCTTGGAAAAAATTAGCACAAGAGCGTGGTAACTACACAGTTGTCGTGGAGACATAAACATTTTTTTTTTCCAAATTATTACTTGGTTTTCTGAATACAAGTGTTATTTTCTAAATATACACAAGCGCAATTAGTGATCTTACTTACCCTGGTTTATCTTGAATTCTTCTTTTTATCAAAGTATCTTTTGTGAAATGGATGTGTTGATTTCGATTGTGAATGGTTTTATTGTTATTGTTAATGTTGTTTTTTTTTTCTTTACTGTTCTCGCTGGATAAGACTTCGACACTTGTGGTTTTACATATTCACACTCATGTGTAGGTGCTAATTGGAAAAACTATATTTTATTACTTTTTATGATTCGAAGCTTTCCAACATATTTCCTGATGCAAATTGCATATTTTTAGTTGTATATTTAGGTTTGAATTGGAAAATGGACACCTGTTCTGCCAAACGTTTAACTGATGCAATTTAATAGATAACACTCACACATGTGCACATGTAAATCCGAATGCCTATCTATCATATTTATTACTTCATATGTTTGAACTTTGAACGGATAGAGTTTTATGATACAGCAATTTAAATAAAATTATTTATGAGCTTTTTAATTTTATTTTCAATTAATTTGTGTATCACATTTATAATAAAAAATATTCATTAACGGCTATAAATTGTTTTTTCATAGCTTTTAATGTTCTTACTTCTGACCACTTTTGACTTCTTTCTGTGTACACTTTTAACTTACTTTCTTTTGCTTGTATTTAATTTTTGCTACTTTTTCAATGCACTTCTTTCTTAAACTCCACTCACACAACCACTTATTTCTTCCATTTTCTGCTGCTACTGCTGCTTTCCGATGCACTTTGCTTTCGGTACATTTCGCACCCTCTATTATCTGTAAGTTTGGTAAGCAATCATATTTGCCACTCCACTATATCTTCAACATTACATATATTACATTGTTGAAATCACATTTTATATCAGAATAATAATTAAATATAATTAAATTCTTTCTTGTTTCCACAACACTGTTATTTTAACAAAACAAAGAATCCACAACCCAACGCAAACACCGCATAATTTATAACATCAAGACATCAAAATCATACTCTATTGTACACCATATACGACAAGCGAAAACGAAACACTGAAGTTTTCAAAATGCCCACTATGCAATTAACCGAAAAACAAACCTGCGTAACTCGAAGCGCGGAAACTCTGGGCATGGCAGAGTTGTGTTTTGAACCGTTCTGTTCCAATTACGTTAGTGTTGCCATTGTACGATATACAATATACAGTTTTGTTAGATCTCGAAAAGTACCGTCACACAAAAGAGTTTTGAAGCAAAGGCTCAAAGTTACACAGCTGGAACTTAGCAAAATAACAATTCCTGGTTGTTACAGCATATTATTGTTGTTGTTAATATATCGCAAACTGGTCAAATCATCCACTAGTCCCACAAACTGGAAAAATTTTACTCACCACAAATTGTAAATATAATTCAAAATTTCAAACATTAAAAAGTTGAAATAAGTTGCCCGCTTTTGAAAAAGATAACTTTAAGAAGGAACTGAAATCTTAATTATTTAAATTTAAAATAATTTTTCATATCAAAAAGGTTTCCATGCCAAAAATTATTAAGATTATTCTCTATGTGAAACTAAGATTAAAAAAAGCGAGAGTCAAATTTTCTGATAATGTGAATGGACTGAAGATTTTCAGGGTCTTGAAATTATATAATTTATGTGCCGAATTCAAAATTAATTCTCATTAATAAAACAATATTTTATATATGTATATCCAACACTTTGAATCCAATTTTAGCATCCCTGCACACCTGACGAATGAAAACCAAAAAAGTTTAACATTCATAAACTCGTCGAAAATAAATCAAGAAATCGTAGAGTTGTACAAATAATTTTTGTTTACAATAGCTAAGGAGTGAAGAATAATTACGATCCAAAAAAGGTTTGGGAAGGGTTCTTTCATTTCCATAAAGTAGCGGTATATTGTTGGAAATAGCTACGGAAATTTATACATTTCCAACTCTGGAAATAATAGTTTAACATCATTAATAAAAAGTTATCTAATTATGTCCAACTTACAACGCACTATTCTAAAAAATAGACTACCACCCACAATTCCTGGTGGACGCATCGGAAGAAGGTAAATCGATATAGTCTATGAAAGTTTGTATACCTCAATGCACAACGTACATACATAACAATTTGTTGCATATATGTATCTATAAATTTAATTTTATTTTAGCGATTCATTCAAAAAGTCTCGGATCAGAGATTTCAAACCGGCACTCTGGAGTGACTTCTTTGCTGAAAAGCAGGATGTGATTTTAGATGAGAAGCGATCTTTCCGCATTTATCGCACAAAGCATCCGCAGAAGCCCGGTCCGATTTTACTTTTACTACATGGTGGAGGTTATTCAGCATTGACATGGTCACATTTTTGCGTAAGTTGCTGCATTGTTGTTTTAGGTTGGTAAACTAATGGCATGCACCTTTTCCAGGTGGAAATAACTCGAATAATTCATTGTCAATGTCTTGCTATTGACTTACGCGGTCATGGTGATACGAAAACAGATGACGAAGATGACCTTTCCTCAGATACGCTTGCTAAGTAAAAGAAAAAAAAAATTTTGCTATTTTTTCACAAATTAAAAAAAAAATTCACCTTTTTATTTCACAGAGATATAGGCGATCTTGTGCTGCAACTTTATCCAGAAAATATTCCACCCATCTACCTCGTTGGTCATTCAATGGGCGGAGCTATTGCCGTCCATTTCGCGCACAAGGCAATCATACCAAGTATTATTGGTATTACCGTTATTGATGTAGTAGAAGGCACTGCAATGGAAGCTTTAGCCAGTATGCAAAGTTTTCTGCGTTCACGTCCCACTCACTTTAAAAGTATACCAAATGCTATTGAATGGTGCATACGAAGTGGTCAAATACGTAATGTGGAAAGCGCCAAAGTCTCAATGCCGGGACAAATTATCAAGTATTAATAATTAATACTCATATATCAGTATTTTACTTATTTGAAATTATTTTATAATTTCTCAGTTGCACAACGAAGCAGCTGGCAACAAATGAGCTGCCCTTATCAGAAGATGAAATTGAAGATGGTGCTTCAGCGAGTTGTTTTACACACCCTTTTAGTATTTCTGAAGACGAAGAAATGGGAAGTGATACTGGTGAGGCTACCGGAACTTCTACTAACCCTACACCTGCAGGTGGTGAAAGTGACAACAGCTCCGAGTCGTCAGATTTTAAAAAACCATTTGCAACACAAAATGAAAATGCGAAAAGGTATTATATAACGACGTAATTATCCAGCCAATTAATTTTTTTCTATACTTAAAACTCTCTATTAGGTACACTTGGCGTATTGATCTGTCCAAATCAGAAAAATACTGGGTTGGTTGGTTTACTGGTTTAAGTGAAAAATTTTTAAATCTTCGTGTACCAAAACAACTGTTGTTGGCCAGCATTGATGGTTTGGATAAGGCGTTAACTGTTGGCCAAATGCAAGGTTTGTAAACTACCAAAAATAATACGAATTACATTGTCAGCAACTGAAACTAATTTTTCGCAATAGGCCGATTTCAAATGCAAGTTTTGGCAAGATGTGGACACGCTGTACACGAAGACCGTCCCCACGAAGTAGCCGAAGTAATAAGTGGCTATCTGATACGCAATCGCTTTGCGGAGGCCGCAGGCGAATTTCACTTTCACTTACCAGCTTGTTAAAGATTTTAGTGCCAATCAGCAGTATATTGAAGTGAAATGCTTTTAAGTATTTAAATTTAAATAGTCAAAGAAGCTTAAATAAAAACAAAGTTGTAAAATCATATAGATTATTTCACAAATAATTAACATATTTCAAAAACTTATAATTATATTGGGAAAGTACTAACTTAAAATTCAAATATGTATTACTAAATTATAAAAAAAAAATAAATAATTTTATTCAGTTAAAACAACTAGCTGCTTTATTGTAACGTGCAAATCATCCTTCTAACCTGTCTCCATGGAAGCGAACTTAAGTTTTGTGGTGATTTAAATACAGCGATGTAAATAGCCTGCCTCCTAAAAATATGCAATTAAATTCATGATGTCCCTAAAATGGCTTAAATGTTCAGAGTTTGAGTTACTTATGGTATGTAAATATGTGTGTATTTGGTAAAAATAAAAAAAAGGTGCAAGTATTAAGGCACATTTAAAAATTATATTTCAAATAAATTGGAGTAAATGATTGTAAAGGAAAATGTTATGCGTTAGGCGAATTTGATATAATTAAATAACGAAAAAATTTTGTTTTTGTGCAGTGTATGACACACTAAGTTTATGCCTTTACTCCACGAAACGTATGCCACTGTTTTTAATCTGAATTTTCGTCTCAAGCGCCTTTATATGACGAAGTCTTTCGGCTATTTGTTCGCGCACTTCATTTCTGAAGCGTTTGCCTTCGCCCAATTCCTCCATTTCAGCCAACCAGTTGGCGCGTTCATTAATTTGTTCCAAAACTGTAAGATATAATAAGCAAGATTATATACATATGTATGTATATGTATGTATTTATATGAATTTGATAATTGTCAAACACACAAACTTACGTTCATCAATAACATGCTCTTCTGTAGCGTGGAAGTCCTTTTTGTTGCGTGGTTTCCGCTTGGCCTTTACCGACATTTCCGCCAAATGCATACCGGACATTGCCTCTTGCAGCAGTTTCTTTTCTTTTTCCGTTGGCATACGATCTGTCGGTTTTGGGCGGTATGGTGGTAGCTTGTAGGCATCACTGGCTAAAATTTGTTCTAAACTTTTGCGTTTAGCAAGCTGGGCTCGCCGTAAGATGTCGAGAGCACCAGCTTCGGGATCCTTAGTATTTACACGTGGCGATTTGGGTTTGGGCAATGGCTCGCCGTTCCGCAAATGATAGTTGATCTTTTTACGCATCATCATTGACATTTTGGACTCGGCCATAAGTGCTGAGAATTGATATTTGATACTTAGATATTTGTACATACAAACATTTCTTAGATGTATTAATAAACCTTGTAACAAATCGGCGGTTTCCTTGCTGTATTCGATTTTAGGTGTATGGAAGAGTCCACCTTGAGGAATGCGCTCACTCGGCCATTGTATAGCATTGTCGTCTGCATTACGACTCTTCGTTAAATCCGCCATAGCATTACTCTCTCGATGTGTGGAGGCGACACCTTTCTCTAAAGCAGAACTTCCTTCCATTGCCAAAATGATTAGACTATTGATATTATTTAGCTAATGTACAACAACACCAGCAATAAACCACAATATTTATACATATAAAAATTTGAGCACTCGAAAATTGACAACTTTTTGAAAAGACACTTAACACCTCGAAAATTCTAATAAGCAACTGTGAAGCAAATAAACAAACTACAACAAACCACTCAGAATCCATGGAAACACGTTAAAAAAAAATAACGAATTAACCCAAGATGAAATTGAACAGAGTGACACAATGTGTAAAAAGCAAGTGATAAAGTTGGTTCAAGAAGCTCACGACTTCCTGTCTACACTAAGGATCCTCTAGGTAGCAGGTAATGTCCGTTTGCAGGCGAGCTATGTGAGAGTCGAATCCCACGTGCTCCCAACCACGGTAGGAGTTGAAACTCACCTAATAAAAAATCTACTCCAATAGAAAGCTTACAATAAATCTCGACTACAAAAAACAGCAGCCATATAAAAAACCGAAAGACGAAAGTTTCTTCGTCACAAACAAACCGGTACGACCATGTTACGATAGACGGCAATATACAATAAATGAAGTGATTTACCATACTGTTGGAGCCAACACCTCCTTTGTACGACCAAGAGCTATCGTCAACAAACTGAGAGAATATCTGCAACAACAACAGACAGCCAAACTATTTTCTACTCGGCTTGTACTCTGAGAGCACTCGATATAAAAGATACCGAGAGTTAGAAAGCGGACAGACGAAATACCTCCTCTCATCAAACAAACAACTCCCGACTGGGCTCCCAAGTCATTGTTGACTAGTCTATTGTCTTGCAACCGTTTTATACAACTAGTTTATTGTCTAGTTCATGTCTAGCTATGAAAATCTACCTATAAAATAAAATATACCTATGTCATAAGGTAGATAAATCTATGATAGAATCGATGCAGTAACCGCTGCCGCTGGCCAAGCAAAAGGAAGACCCCCACTCAATAAAGATGAAATGTGTGTAAAGGGTCTTATAAAATTTTACAAAATATAAATAAAAAAAACCAAGAAAATTATCCAAACAGATTTTATTTATGTAGACATTAGATATACCTTTTTAATTTTGTTATTGTACTACACAAAGATATAAGATTCGTTTTTCGTTAGTTACTTTTAAATCTTTTCTTATTTAGTATATATAAAATACAGTTTCACAAATAAATAAACCAGCAAATTAACTAACAATAAATACCTGAATGATTGATTTTTTTTTTTTTGTTTTCTTTATCAACACACATGCCAATTGCTCGTAATTACATAGAAGCCTCAGCACCTGTGCAATCGTCGTCCTGCTTTGCGCTTAATGGGCTTTATACCAACAACATATGTATGTTTGTTTGTAAATAAATATAGTTAAATACCGCTAACACAAAATATCTGTTTTTTCTTGCCTTACATAATTTGAAACTGACCGAATGCGTATGATAAAATATAGTAAAATTTGTCTAACATACATTTACAAATAATAATAATAATAATAATAATAAAAATTTGCTATAATGTGAAGATGCCGACCACAACTTCTGTTCAATTCTGCTTCTGTATAATTTATATGCATGTTTGTTTGTATATTTAGCGAACTCAAATCAATTGACTTCTACATAGTGCTAATTTACTTATTTATTAAATATGTATGTACGTATGTATGATGCAATTGTATTTAAAATAAGCAGTAAAACTTTCTCAATTCTATTTACAGAAACCTACAGACAACCCTACAAATTCGCTCGCACATACATACATATCTATGGATGTGCATGGCGCAATTGGCTTAAATAAAAGTGCACTCGTTGTGTGTGCTGTTAATTAATTGGGCATAATTGTTCACATTTTTTTTTCGTACAACACATGCGCTTATATGTACATAGTTTACTATGTATGTGGATTTTTAAAACTACAAATATATGCAGAGAGAAAATGAAAATAAAATATGTATGTGAGCATAATATTAAATAGTTTGATATTACAAATAAAAGTAAATTAAAAGAATAAAATAAAACAACAACATATCTATTATATAAAGTACAAGTATGTATGTATGTAAGCATGTATGTATGTGTATTTATATGTGACCCAACTTGCAGCAGCATTTATATTAATTGCTTGAGCATCAACTCGCTATCGGCTCCAGCATAACACATTTAACATTACACACATTATAACGACAAACTCGGTAGATACAATATACATGCATACATACATACGTTTTACATACTCGTATGTCGATTGCTGCGCGCAAGTTGGCCACAAAAAAAAACTCTTCTGACTATATATATTTTGGTTTTAAAACTATTCTATATATCTTATATACAATATACGATACGTTACGATACGAATTACATACGTAACGCGCTTACATATATGCGCGCATACGCATTGAATTTTGAATGAAAGTTCAGCTTTTGCACAGTGTTTCTTGCTTAGTCAAAATATTTTTTAAAGAGTCTCATTCCATTAAACATTTTCCTTTTCTTTGTTTTTTTTTTTTTTTTTTTTTTTGTAAAATATTTTTGAATATTTCACATTTTATATTATTATAAGTTAAAATTAAATTCAGCAATTACGTTCCGTACCAGAGAGATATGCTGGCCTGAATGTTTTGATGGCATACTGTCTGTTCAGGCAGCATTCACTCTGCTTAATTCATTTATTTGAATATAGGCGTCAACAATTGAGCGTCAGCATTTTCATAGGCATTTTAATCATTTAATTCTTAGTACCAGAAAGTAATTTTAGTCAGTCTCATTGTCGCGATGCATTTTTTCCTAATTACTTTTTAACATTTTTAGCAGATATTTTTCTTTCGCTCTCTTCGCTTTCCTTATCCAGTAGCAGTGTTCCCACAATTACATTGAAAACTAAGTATCACACAAATCATATTTATACACGTTCAAGATTTCAAATTTGTATGTGATCGACCCATGTAATCACATAAGTGCAAAGTTACTGTGTAGCGAGAGAGAGAGGGAGTTGTTCCATGTGTCTGCTGTTTGCTTGCAAAAGATCTCAATGTATGTATTTTTTAGAATAGTGTGAAATGTTCGTCATACTTCGAATAATTATTATTCTAAATTGCGGAAAATATAAAGAGCACAAAAAGATCGGTGTCAATTACATTAAGCTAAATACATGGAGGTTGGTAGCCACATAATACGAGTATATAAACTATCACACATCTACATAGACACCTCTGCATGTCTGCCTTAAACGTGTTAAATTGTTATTAGTATTTGACATTGTAGTTAAATCGTCATTCCTGTCTAGCGATTAGTAAGTCTCGATTTTGTCTGAGTATGCTAGCAAACATAAAATGAAAGCAATAATTCCAATATCTACATTAAATATCCAAACGATTTCGTAATATGTCCACACGTTTGCTTTGCAGCAGTATAAATATAATATAAGCTACAACAACTAACGATTTAACCAAATGCAACTAGCTTAATTGATAGCCTGTTCGGTCATTTGTAAGCAGAGCGTCTCCAACTGATCTAAGCTGTTAATGTCGTTCATAGCTACGGTAGTAGTAGTGATGGTAGTAGAGCTGTTAGATGTTAAAATTTTCGTGTGTAATTTATCCTTTGGCTGAATATTAATGCTAGTCAAAATCGGTTGTGTTGGTGCTGTGTGTGCTAAGGTCGCTATTGCATGATTACCGCTAACGGTTTCATTGTATGGTATTGGCAAATTGTTACAACCGTTTACATTACTTACACCACAACAGGTGTTTTTACTACAATTATTACTACTATTCGCATTTACGTTGCACAAACAACTTAACAAATTACTAGTACTACGACAACTATTGCCAACGGCCGCTGCTGCAGCTGCTAATAGTTGCAATTCTTGCTGTTGCTGTTGACACAATAAATTATTATTTAACATACTACTATTGTTATTTAACAGATGCGTTTGCTGTTGTTGTGCTTGTTGTTGTGGTCCAATCGCAGCACCACCAGCACCGCCACCACCAACACCAAGTTCCTCACTACTAACCATTACAACGCCAGACATTGGATTATTTGTTTGCTGTTGTTGCAGCTGTTGTTGTTGCTGCGACTGCTGCTGCTGTTGATGTGGTGATTGAGCAGCCACACTTTGCTGTGTTGTTTGCTGTGTTGTTTCGGGCTTTCCGCCTAAATTGCCGATATTAGTTGCAAATGTTGGAATTAAATTGGCATTACTGCTGTTGCATTGATTATTGATGGTTGTTGTTGTTGTTGTGAGACTAGTTCGACGCATTTGATTTTCCAAGGATGATGGACCGGCGGGCACAATGCCTTGACCTGGTTTAAAAATCATCTTTTGCGGTTGTTGAGGACCGCCAGATACCATTATTAAGTTATTCAGCGATCTACGATGATGCTGCTGGTGTTGTGGGTGTTGCTGTTGCTGTTGTTGTTGATGTTGATGTATGGGCAATGGCGCAAATGGTAAATGTTGTGTTATAATATTAGGTTGCAGTTGCTGCTGCTGCTGCTGTTGTTGTTGTTGCTGCTGTTGTTGCTGCGGTAATTGTATAATGTTATGATGTTGATGCTTTCCTTGTTGTTGCTGATTGTTAATAAAGTTGGGATAAGATGAACTCTTATACTGTTGTGAGCCTCCGCTATTGCTACCATTGTTGTTCATCATATGAGAAAATTTATCATAATCACCAGCATGTGTATGATTACTGTGATGATGTTGTTGTTGATTTTGTGAAACGCCACCGGTAGGAAAACTAAGCGTGTCATTTGAATTTTTTCTATGATTAATACGATCATTGCTGCCATTCTTCATATCACATTTACGGTTTTTACCAGCCCATCTGAATACAAGCACATAAAGAAAATGGAAATGTCAAATAAATGAGAAAAATTATTACAAAAATTTTATTACTCATTTACCTGGATTTGTTTAAATTTCCTGCGCTGCCATTTTTGACATGGTGCGCTTTGTGCCCAATAGATATTTTAAGCTTCGACAATTTAAATTTCAATTCCTTCAGTTGACTTGAATGGTTGACAAAAGCCTCGTTGTGTATTGAGCGGTCAAGAACCCACATAAGCATACCAATATTTTCCTCATCTTGCGGCATGCAGCTGTCACGTTGAACTGCCGAACCCACTGTCAATATATAATTCAGCATTATTGATTCAGATTCAGATTCCTTACGAAAATGTATAAAACAAAGCTATAAATATTTAACAAATATGCATACCTAGATCCACAACTTTCAAAAACTTAAGCGCTACATTATTTTCATTGGCATCGCTACCAACTGCATCTACAGGCTTCATTGGTGTTAGTACCATGTTGGTTAAAATTTCCACAACACTTTGAATTTGTGTGTGCCCATTCAGCAAATCTTCTTCTAGCTTACTTAGCTGATTCGAACGATCTTTTAGCTTCTCTATACACAAAGCCAACTTATGCGAGGCTCCTTTGGTCACACCCAAGCCTTGCAAGTATTCCTCTGTGATGCAAAGCATATCTTCATATGTCATATCCTTAAAAAGATCAATGTACTTATGCAAGCGCAAGGATTTCAGCCACAATCCAATATTTGACATGCCCACATTTCGTGTTTGGAATTTTATGTAATTGGGCTTCAACTCATCTAGACGTGTATCCGAACCGCTATTGGCTAGAACCCCACGTTGGTGTTCGATGGAAAACGAAAAGCTACGCGGTTTATTTGCGAATTGGGATAGATTTTCATTTGAATTTGAACAATTGTCATTGACCGTTATCACCGACGAATTCGAGGACGTAGACGGTGTGGATATAGCTTGTGTTGTAAGACTGTTTGATCGTCGAGTTTTCAATGAAGCAAATTTACCATCTAAACTCCAACGCGCCATATCTGTTTGCTCGTAATTGCTCATCAGCATTGTTGGGTAAGTCGGCTGGAAATAAATTATTTCGGTAGTGTAAATATAATAACTATACATACGTAAGTATAATAACCTTCTCATTCTGTTCGTTATTAACAGAAGTTGCAGAAGACTCATTTGTACAACCTGCGTCGACGCTGATTCTTATTTGTGGCTCAAAATCAATAATTTCTGTGCCGTTCTTTGAAAATGATGTATCATGTTCGTCATTACTGGAGCTACTATTATTACTATTGCTGTTGTATGTATTGGCATCAATCTGACTCTTACTTCCTATAATATTTACATTTGGTTTATTTTGTTTATTAAAGAAAATTTCCAAACTAGTACCACTACTCGTGCCAGCTACTGCAGCTACACCATTAACCAAAGACGATTCTTCTGTAGTCGCATCACCGATTTTAGCAATACCCAGAGACAAGCCCAATTTATTTTGACTAGATCCTAATTCGTTTAGATTAATACCATTGAAATTATCACAGTGTTGGTCAGTAATGCTACTGTTTCGTCGATTACAACTGCTGCCACTACTGTTGAGGCTTACTTCTGTTATATTTTTTATGCCACTGTTAGAAAATGTGGTATCCTTCGGTATGAAGTTGGTCCAGTCGGGCAGTGGGTTTAGTTTTGGAAGAGCATTTGGCGGTGGTGGATTATATTGTTTGCTTGGTGGAGCAATGGTTTGCCAATCAACATTTCGTTGCTTTTGTTGAGGTTTTGTTCCCACCCCGGGTGCTGAGCTGCCCGATGACATGGAGTTGTTTGACATGGATGAAGTCGATGTAAGTGACGATACTGACGAAACAGACGCATCAGAGCCTACACCTATACTTTGACTTAAGTTGCTGCTGTTATTGGCCAGTTTGGGATCCGACAATTTCTCATTCGCATGCATATAATCCTCCAGATGTCGTAACCAAACATTTAGTGATCTAATTAGTAATAAATAAAAAAAAAAAAAGAAAATCATATATTTTTATCAAAACATAAAATTACCTTCGATCTTCACTGCTTATAGCTGGATGAATAAGTAAATAGGAGAAAATTTGCTGGACCAATTCGGTAGGTACACGATTCTGCATAGTGTCTCTAACTGTTGCGGGAATTAATGCTAAATATACTAGTTTAGCTTCGTCATTTCCTGGTTTTAAAAGCGGCAACATGTTTAGTACCTCAATCAATAGTTCTTTCTTTTTGTCATATAATTTTTGTTCATCGCAGTTGGTGATTTGAAAATCAGATCCAAAACTTTGCATGGATTCCTTGTCTGATGATACCGAACTCAGAGCATCAGCGGCGTCATTCATGTGCAACGTCTTATAGGCGTTTAAAAGTTTTTTCAAATACGAAGGATTATTCGCATTCAAGTCAATGAGTACGCTACTAAGATTATTTTCTGAGTTTAAGCGTTGTGTCAGAACGTGATCAATAGCATGTTGCAAGAACTTCATATTATGATATCTTAGGCGTTTCAGTAGAGCATATAAAACAACAGTTCGTTCACAATGATTCCAGCCTTCGAAGAAGTTTATTACAGTAGTCACTTGCTCGCTAAAGGCTACGGGGCTATTTCTAGAATAGTCATCTACCTTTGGGTTGATGCTAATACCACTACTTTCTGCAGAAAAGTACTTCATGTTGGCGTTTGTGAGAATTCCTTCAAACCTCCTTAGTTTATTTATTGAATATATCCGTTTGTTTATGTTTCTATATTTTTTAAGCTGTGCTGCAAAATTCTTTGTAAATAAAAGTACAAAATCTAGTTAGAATATTATTTACTCATTTTATACATGCACATATTAGCTTTAGGAAGTGAAATAGTGTAACGGTATACATATATTGATTTTATATAAATATACATATATTGGCGGTTATATATATATGTATATTTGAAAGACTTTTGGAAACAAGCATCTACTAAATAAGTAAGTCTGTGGTTTTCTTCGAAAATTCGGTCTTATTTGTGCTTAGAAATAGCTGTTATTCGTGTCATAAATATTGCCAGTAAAGGCTTTTAAAAGGTTAAAGTTTTTTTTTATCCCATATACATATGTATGTATGTATTTGTGTAGTTTTATATATAGCATATTAAATAATGCAAATGGCTTAAAATAACTGTTAATACGGTTTATTTCTCTTTTTGCAATTTTTTTTGATGATTAGTTTTCACTTTAAACTACGATTAATTAAAACGAAATTATCAAAGTATATATATTTTTCACTATGAAAATCAGTTTTTCGGAAGATTCAATTTCCTCAATACATGCAATTTTCTATGTTGCTTACTTACAATGCTTATTTATTATGGTTTAAATATTTTTCTTAATTTCCTCGGAAAATTAAAGTCATTGAATTTGAATTGAGTTATGGCGACTTTCTTTCTTGTCACTAGTCTCAGCCACAGTCAGACAATTTATATCTCTCCTCGCAAATTAAATATATTGTTTGCACGACTATTTGGCGAATCTTATTAACACGTTTACTAACAATATTTGCGTTTCATATACATTATCACTTAGCATACAAAAAATTACGAGCGAGCTACATTTAAAGAACAAGATCAACAGTAAACGATTAAAATGCTACAAAATCTTGCGCTTTTGCACTGATATTCCTTTAATTTTGAATTAATATTGCGCAATTATTATTATTTTAAATTTCTTAAGAATACTCATATATGTATGTGCAATAGCTTTATATCAACGAGTTGCCAAAAATTTTCTAAAATATATTCCTCGACGAAGTGGTACTTAAGCTTATTGATATACTTCCAATAAGACGTCGACTTTAACGTCGAAGCATATGATGATGTTAAACCTATCTGCCGTTACCGCTTATCTATCAAGGAAAATAGTTTTCCACCGAGAGGAGTCGTCGCTTGCTATAAAAAAATTAATGGGAAGGAGAAATTCTTTCCAAGACGTACTGAATAACACATCTATTGTTGTAGTTATTGGTTAATGCATTATGGCTTCAAGTTAATTAACTTCATCGTGACACTCACCAGTTTCGTTGTTGTTGTTTTTGTTGTTAGCTTTATATATTTGCTATTGGTATTCGCATCTCAAAGATTTGGAGATTATTTATTTGGTGTTTAATCAACAAAATTATTTTCCTTTATACTTTTTCTTTTTTAGTACTTCTTTGTTAACAAAAAATTTCAGCACAAAAAGAACTCGGTAAAAACCTTGAATCTCATCGTGTTTTCTTTGTAATGCATTCCGATTAATCCGCCCTGTGGTCATATAGACAGCATGTCGCTCGCTTTATAAAACTAAACGTTTACGAAACATTTCAATTTCAAAGAAATTCTAGGTGATGAGTTTTACACTTCACTTTTTCCAATAATTCGTTTGTTGTCTTAAAATCTACAACAATTTCCTTTTGCAGGTAACTTGAAGAATTTTTTCATTTCCACTCGTAGAAAGTTAATCCCAGCGACATCTATCAATTTGACATTTATCCGCGTTACAGAGTTGCACGCTAACAGTGTTGATAACTGACGTATTTGAATTTTTGAAAACAATCGATAAGATCATTTGCAATGACAACGAAAACAAAAATTTCTAATAGAAGCTAGTAGAAACAACTCTGTAAAAAACAATACCAGAAAAGGTGTGGCAGAATTCTATGATATATAATGATTTGTTTATTAAATTTTCAGTTAGCACAACACTTGCTTGTGGCTGATAAACGCTGAGTTGAAACTTATAGAAACTTAGCCATAATAGCTCAATCAGAAGGTTGTATCAGCTGACCCGCTATAGTTTTGGCTGTTTGACAGTAAGAAAGAAACGTTTGCAAATATCGTATTTTCTTAATGGGTATATGAATATACGTTCTTTATTTATTTGTCATTTTATGTAGAATTTTTCACAAAAATTTCGCACGGACTATTTTCAAGGTGTAATTGATTACAGTTTTATCAAGGTATTATTAATCTTTTGATTTGGATAGTCTCAGAATAACCAATATGTGAAGATAGTTTGAAGAACTCGAATAGGAGATTGATTTATTTCATAAAGGGCAAATAATAATAGTTAAAACAACAGAAATCTATGTGAAAATGTTTGTCACTTCGGATACGCAGAAGAAGTCTTTTTTGGAACACACCAAGGCAGCTAGGGAGGAGCGTGCCTACGAAAAACGTCGTGAAGAGGCGGCAGTTCGAATACAAGCACAATGGAAAGGATACATAGCTCGCAAGCAATATCGTAATAGGATAATGTAAGTGGCTACAAATATAATATTTTGTACATATACAGTTCATTACTTTATTTATTTTTACCTAATTTTTTTTCACATGCAGCACTGATTTTGATAATTTAATCACAAATGATAAAAGTGAAAAAGATTTTGAATTATTACTAGCTAATACTGTATATCCAGTTGTCCGGCGTTTTCTCACATATTTTCAATGCAAGAAGGAAGCGTTGGATACTTTATCATCACGTGAAAAGTTTGAGTCCTTATGTCGCTATTTAAACAAATCCATGGAATCAGATTCACCGAAGCTGTCCTATGCAGCTCTTTGCTTACATAAAGATAAGAGGTTCGTATCCGATTACTTCATCAAACATGATTTAGTTTACGTGTATTAATTAAATTTGACTTACAGCTTACACTGGTTAGCTCATGTGAAATCTTTATTATCATTATGTTGCCTAATGCTGGGAGACTTAAAACCTGGTATTAATATTAAATAAAATAAAAAAATTTAAATTAAGTAAATATTTTCAACAGAAAATCATGCGGACAGTATCTCATTGGCGCTTTACCTTCATACGCTTGTCGTTTTTACATCACCAAAATCTTGGGGTATACTTCGAAATAAACAATTCGAAAAAATGCAACCAGCATTGCAGAAAATATGCTGCAATATTCAGGGAAAATTAGTACAAAATGGATTTTTCAAAACAATGAGAGTGAGTTGAAATAGAATTATTTACTGTGTTTATGATAATCAAACTGTATTTTGCCTTTTCTATAGTCGATACTCTTAAAAGGTACTGCACGTGAAGATCTTTCTATCAAACCTGTTTCACTTAAAGCTATAATGACGCTTTCTACTCGACCTCTCATTGATGGCGGCTTCAGTAGAAATTTACTAACCCAGTTTTTGGCTGAGATTTTATCGGTTCCTGCTTTAGTATACCATCTGAATATTGTCATACCACAATGCATAGAAAACTTCAATTCTATGCAAATACTGAAACGATTTCTGCAATCCGTTGAGGATGCCGATTGGTTTTCAGAGTTTACAAAATCTATGCCAGTAAGTTGATAAAAAAATATATTCATATGTTATAATATACATAAAAAAATTTAATTTTGAAATATTTTAAATTTTATAGGGCACTAAGGTGCTTGCATTCCTCGGAAACATTGTTAATCTGTTTACAATTGACAGCTCTGTAGAAACAAGAGAGTTGGCATATCCGCTATTTACAGTAATTATACAGTTATTATTTATAATACAATTATAATAATATAGTTTTTTCACATCTTAAAGAATGCAACCACCCTACTACTCGAGAAGATACCAAACACCGTTTCCAGCAAAGGCGTATTTACGCAGTGGCATGAACTGCTTGGCTGGCATACACCATCGTTGGATTCAGCACAAAACCAAAATGTAGCGTTGATTAAAAAACAATTTCATTTTCTATGGGGTCATCGTTGCATTAAGGTTTTATTGGTGGACACACTGAGAGATATCAATGCAACGTATGAACGTGTAGAATTCCAACCACCGTCACAGGCATCCACAAGCAACATAATACGTCGTGCATTGGATCGTGGTTCATCACGCGGTACATTTAACAGAGGCAATAGATCATGGCGTAGACTAGATTGCGCAGAAGTGGAGCAGGTGTCACGTGTAAGCGCCATGTTTTATGCAGCGTTGAATACGCTCTCTCAGCTACGACTTGATATATTAACAGGTAGCATAGAAAACTGCATTCTTATAAGAAATCTAGAGTTTCCTTGTGATATTCTAGCAAATTTACTCTTACTTATTTAAGGTATTTGTTACAATGACAACGTTTTATATGGTCTTTGGCTCCTGCTCACATCGCTGGGTCCGCATTGTGGCATGAAAGAGTTTTTGGAATTATTAAAGCAAGAAAACGCCTTGCGGAAGCCGCAAGTAGCAATGTTGATGCTATTCTGTGACAGCATGACGCATTACGTTACGTAAGTGTAACACATATTGAATATTCCAATTTTTGAGCATATGCACATTTTATAGTATTTTGGATGAATACGAAATGTATACGGAACAAAAGCCATTTCTCCTCAATGACTTTGTCATGCTTACATATTTTCTGAACAACATTCTCTATAAGATAATCAACGAAAATTTACTTGGTAAGTAGGAAATTACATAATATCGTGCGGGTAACAACATTAAAAACAATAAATAAATAAAAAATTACAGCAGGAACGAAAAATATAACACAATGCCCATTATTCATATCCTTGCATACATTGCTTTTATGCCTTTACCGTCGTGATTGTCGCCGACCATTTGCACCAATCAATCACTGGCTTATACCCGAGGTGAAACCTTCAACGTTCATCAGTGATTTAGAAAAAGCAAAAAGGCACTCTGTGATTCTGCTGCAGAAGATGCCACATATTATACCGCACGAAGATCGCGTGAAGTTGTTTAGAAAGTTCGTACAGAATGAAAAGGCTGTAATGGGTTTAACAGAGAGCGCATGCGCATCACCACGATCTGCACTGATTGTTGTGCATCGGGATCGTATTGTAGAAGACGGCTATAGACAATTAGCTGCGCTTAGACCGCACGCTTTGAAAGTAAGTAAAACTGTGTTTTGTTGCAGATATAAAACATATGTATTAATATTTTCAGGGTGTGATACGTGTACGATTTATAAACCAACAAGGTCTGCACGAAGCTGGTATTGATCAAGATGGCGTTTTTAAGGAATTTTTAGAGGAGACGATTAAGAAAGTATTTGATCCGTCTCTTAATTTGTTCAAAACAACTACGGATCAACGTTTATATCCATCGCCCTTATCATATGTGCAGGACAATCATTTGCAGTTGTTTGAGTTCGTTGGTCGCATGTTGGGGAAAGCAGTATACGAAGGCATAGTTGTAGATGTGCCATTTGCATCGTTTTTCCTATCACAACTGCTAGGTCAAACACATCAAGCGCTTTACTCCTGCATGGACGAGCTACCCTCTTTGGACAATGAGCTCTATCGCAGTCTTACCTTTATCAAACATTATAAACAGGATGTTGCAGACTTAAATTTAACATTTTCAGTGGATCAGGATGTTATGGGTAAGATTGTGACACATGAGCTGCATCCGGGTGGTAAAGCACGCGCAGTGACCGATCACAACAAACTAGTATATATACATTATATGGCATACTTTCATATGAATACACAAATACGCGAACAAACTCAGGCTTTCAACCGTGGATTCCGCAGTATTGTCAATCCGGAGTGGTTATCCTTATTTTCACCACCGGAATTGCAACGTTTGATTTCCGGCGACACCGCGCCGTTAGATCTACGCGATCTACGAAAACATACACAGTATTATGGTGGATTTCATGATTCACATCGTGTCGTTGGCTGGTTATGGGATATTTTAGCTAAAGATTTCACCGAAGAAGAGCGCAAATTATTTCTTAAGGTTGTCATTTTGAATATTTGTATAATTACACAAACAATTGCGTGTAATATTATTTTCTTATTTTTCTTCTAGTTTGTAACCAGTTGCTCTAAGCCACCGTTGCTGGGATTTGCCAATCTAGAGCCACCGTTCTCTATACGCTGTGTTGAAGTTAGTGATGACGAGGACACTGGTGACACCATTGGCAGTGTCATACGTGGCTTCTTTACCATACGCAAGAAGGACCCACTCAATCGTTTGCCAACATCATCCACTTGCTTCAATTTATTAAAGTTGCCAAACTATCAGAAGAAGTCTACGCTACGCGACAAATTACGGTACGCTGTTAGCAGTAATACTGGATTTGAATTGTCATAATTTATAGGTTATTGGTTAAGCAAAAGTACTTTAAACGCACTTGAATTTAAAGACTACTTTCTACGTATATGACATAAAGGGCTGCAAAGCGTGCAAACTTACACTTCATCACATACAATAATAATGAAATATTTAAAATTTATGATGACACTTTGGGATTAATGTAAGATACCATTGTGAGTTTGCTGCTATTATAAATTAACTTTAAATGCATCATACATATAATATACGTTAATGATTTTCTAACTTTGCCATATCAATACAAATACAATATATACACATTTATTAATGTGTAAACTTGTGCGTGTATATGTAATTAGTTTTCAACGGACGGACTAATGCATCCTTATGTTTGTAGTCGATTTGATGTGTATGCGGCTCCACTAAAAGCTAATACTTCGGGAAAGCATAAGTTAAGATATTGCTATCAATTTTAAGGCATTATTTGTCTGTTGTATGTAGTTTATTTTATTTTTTCGCAGTTTGTAAGCTATTTTTTTTTTCATTAGATAATATGTATGTGTTTTAAATTCGAAGTTTTAGATAACTGTGATAAACAAGTTTACACGACATTCGTCTACTCTATACCGATAAATGTAAAGATACCCATTTGTATATGTATGTATATTTGAAAGGGCAAATTTCAATAAAGAAATTTTATTATAAATATTTAAATTTTATGTGTGTTTCCTTGCATAAAAAGTGAGTGCGGTGAATGCGTAACGAGCTAATCAGGGCTTCATATCAGAGGCAGGAAAAAATAAAAATATATGTTATTGGTCAGAAATTTTAAATATTTTTTTTTTTTTGCATTTTGGTATTTAAAGTTTTCTCCCAAAATTATATTTTTTTCATCAAAAATATATCTTTTTTATTTTCGTTTGCTGTGGTGTGATTCACTATTCTATTTTAACGATTTTCGGGTCGTTAAAATAACTTAACGACGATTTAACGATTTCATTGTTCGCTACACATACACATTTTAACGATATTAGCTATAGCTTGATCAGCTGTTATCGCTAGCTACGCGGTATTTAAAGATATATGAAGTAGAATGGATGTTTGGATTGTTGTTGTGGTAACGGTAAGTGATCGAGGTTATCTAACGGCAGATCTATCGCACTTTCGGCGACCTGACGCTCTAAAGGGGCACACGAATGTGCTGTTGTGCTGTCAGATCGTGAAGCCGTCAATGAGGTCGGGAAAGAAGGGCCTTCTAAAATACCCGAACCATTTGGTCCAAAAATACATCAGATACCAAACTTTGAATAGTCGCCCACGGTAAATAATACATTTATGTATGTACATTATCGCTTACATATATACAAAAATATGTTTACCATTACATTATTAGAAAGTTCGGAGACTAGCCGTAATTAGAACGGCCGCCCCTCGGCAGCGAACGTTAAGCCCTCCAATCGTATTTCTGACATGAAATAAAAGCTTCGGAGGCGGCTTAGGATGAACTACATGTCTCCCCATATGTTGGGAAAACATCCACCACAAATTGGAGGAGGAGCTCCGCCGAAAATCGCTCAAGCGGTTTGCATATATATATATATAATGATTGTATCATTTCTACTTTCTACTTGTAAATACATTGGCAACTCTAGTTTTGCGTTTGGTGTAATTCTACGTGGCCTCTGATTGGCTGTTTCGGCTTGTAAGGTTTCTTGTTCTTTTCCCGCCAGTAAATTTGTCTGCCGCACGGTACGCCATTGTTGAGGGGAAGTGATGATTTTTGTTTACAGACAATGGTGCTTGGAGTGGTGCTGTAGGACATAACAAAGGAAAGATTTGGTTTTAACTGTCCAAATGATGAATTACGGTGAAGTGTTTGTTAACAAAGTTAGACTGGGCACGAGAAGTAACTTTGAAAAAATGTTCTGTTTAACATAAAGCGATTTGGGCGGCCATTTTTTAGAAGGCTTGCTTTGAATGGACACACTGCGCATGTTTCATACATAAATACATATATTCGTACATTTCCATGTGGTGAAGAACAGTAAAAATTAATAGCAATTTATTGAAAGAAACCATATCAAAGATCGCAATCTACAATAGATTCTATGGACGAGCCCTTATTTTAATGAGCAGAGAATGCATGTCGGTTTTGTCGTAAATGGGTAGTTCCATCGTACAGCGAGTTGTCTCAACGTATTGAGCGCAAAGCGGTTAAGCGCTTCCATATATTCATAAACGTTGCAGCTCTCGCCATGATGTCAACACTCCACTACACGACTTCAGCGTTCGGGGAAGAAATGAAGGCTCAAACCCAAGACGCTTCAGCTTTTAGTGTTAACTCTGGGGGCCGAAACTAGCAGTAAATTCTGTTTCCATGATGAAACTTCTTAAACGGGCTGAGGCCGATAGACTTTCCTGCGAATCGAAATATGGTTGTCAGTAGCACTAGGTTCAAACATGCAGCATATTCAGCAAAATGGACATATGTATACCTGTCGAAATGTGAACGAGAATACCATTCGATGAGCTGAAGCTGAAGATAAAATAACAACTTAGCTCTTGGTTTGTACGGCATTGAAGCCCACGACCACCGGCTCATAGCACGGATTTGCCTGATGACTTTGAAGTAACCATACACATCCGTGTATTACATATACATACATATGTATGTATGCAGATATTTTAAAAACCTCAAATAAATCAAATGTACATATTTTTTAAACAAACAACAAAGTCTTACTCATGACGCCAGACAAAAACAAGTTGTAATCAAAATATTTAAATAAAAACCTGTAATTGCCAACATACATGTGTACTGTACTGTACATACATACATACATACATAATAGATTTTAATGTTTTTACCCCTCTTCATACGGAAGTGACGTGTAACATAGGTATATGTGAATGTACTTATGTATGTATGTATGCTTGTGTGTATGTATGCATGTGTGTACATAAGAATTCAACGCCGTAGATGCGAGTGTAAAAGTGTTTGAATGCACGCTTATCAGTACTTCAGAGAATGCCGCATCTTAAGTGATGGCGCCAAGCTCAGTAGCCAGTCTCAATCTTCGTGTCATTGTTATTGCACTTTATGCTTTGTTTTGTTTGTTGCTGTTGCTGTTTATTGCTTGTACTACGCTTCAACTGTGCTTCAATCGACGGTGAATGGTTGGTGACTATACTCTGCCTGTAAAATTCGGCGCTGCCATATCTATATTTATTTCTTTATTTCTTTACAATTAAAATATGGAAAGTTCTAGAAATTTTAGAAATTTTTAGGTTAGGAGTGAAATTAAAAGAATAAATGAATAATAAAGCGTTTTCTCGACGAACCAAAACCACATGCGCAGAAGCGTGGATGATGTCGATATACGATGTATCGGCCTTGGTATCTAGTATTGTATAGACCTTTGCGCACCGCTGGTGGAAGCAGAGGAAGAGGTTGACCTTCACTCCGTTGGGCGGATGGATGGGTGAGAGCGACTTTATTTCACTTGGTATCTGCAGTTAGGCTGCTGCGCTAGCCGAGTTGTTAGCATTGCGTACTGCCATTCGGAAGGCTCAGGTTCAAATCCTGGTGTCGTACTAAAATCCAGAAAGTTATAGAAAATTTATTTAAATAAAAAATTAATTTAAATTTTCCAATTGCAGTCGCCCCTCGACCGGAAATGTCAACCCCTTCGAGTGTATTTCTGAAATGAAATAAAGCTCGTCATAAAAAACCATCAGCCGTTAGAAGGCGGCTTGGTATAAACTGCAGGTCCCTCCATTTGTTGCAAAAATATCAAGGCGCAAAACCACATATTGGGAAGAAGCTCGGCTAAAATCGCGTCAGCGGTTACAAAGATCCAATTATATTTGCAGTTGGCGCTAAACAGCGAAAGGAAGATACAAATAGGGGCCAATAAAGAGGAGTAATCTGTGCAAAATACGTCTTGCGAAACTTACTAAGAGGCCACTCTTCAAGATGCTATCAGGATTTTTTACGAGTCATGCTTGTGGACATCGTATGCCTTCAATTGGCCCTGGTAGAGGACAACGAGTGCTTCAAGATCAGTGAATGTGCGGTGACAGGGGAGCACGTAATCTGTGGTCCCCTGGTGTTCGGTAGGGGACAAAGGAGTTTAGTTTCTCTAATAATAACGGTTCAACAACATTTATATATCGCATAAGGGAGTGAGCGACTTGAAGCCCAGCTATATGACAGTTTTCTGCTACTTCAATTGAAAGCCAAAATGAGTTTGGCTTCGACCTGGTCTCACTCTTTAAAATAGTATTCCGCGATTGGGCAACTTGATATTATTTGGTGGATGACTCTTCCAGCGGACAACAGAGGAACTAATTCCTTAAATGTAAATACCAAGAGCTCAGCAGTTGTCCGCGAGAAAGGATGAAACTGCATCACTGTCAAACATGCCAAGGCAAACCATCTCATTGGTAGAGACAAAATCGTCTTGTAGCCGTAGCTCTTGAGTGGTCTATTGTCTATCACACAATTTACATAGAAGATATTACAAAGACGGGCAACAAATACCCTCCTCAACTGACATTGTTTCATGGCAGAAAAATTGTTAAATTTGAATACGTATTGTAGTTTTGAGTGGCATTAGTAAAGGAAACTCAAGTGGCGGTCAATAGTGTGCGAAGGCAATTGTATACGAATCGGTGCTTAGTCGGAGGATGTAGAGGAGGCTATGTAAGTCCGCAATTTATTGTAATAACACAACAATTGGCTTGACAATTGTTCAGTGTCTGCGCTTCTGTGACACTTCGTAGGCACAAAGAAAACAATTAGAAAACTAGGAATTACACCTATTCGTCCAACCGCAAATATGTGTACTTATGTACATATATCCCTTTTCAGAGCTCAGACAATCATAATGAAACCACTTGTGAGCCTTTCTTTGCTTGCAAAATGCCATTAACAAAGCGTACAATGCAAATAAAGTAATATGTTTTGTAGATTTCTCTTGTGCCCACAGATCTGATGAGCAAGCGCACTCTTTGTTTCGGAATGCGTCGATTATTTGCTTCTGAGCCGTTGCTGCCGCTTAGCGCAAATGGAATTGTACCCACTGCAGGATATTTACTCAAAGAAAGATAAAGGTATATATAAACAGATGTACAAATGTATGTCCATACGTATAAGATAATTGCCAGCTTATTAATCGTCGGCGACTAGCGTTGCGTAGCATAATTCCGAAAGTCAGTCCTCCGAGGTCAGTCCTCGAGTCCTCCGACTGTATTTTTGACATGAAATGAATGAATGAATCATAAAAGCCATCAGTCGTTCAGATGTGACTTAGAACATATAAATTCTAGGTTCCTCCGTTCGTGAAGAAAAAAATCCGGACGCACACCTCGAAACTCCCCTAGAAAGGCAGACGTTCAATTTTACTTTACATTGTACCATTTAGAAATAAGGAGTTTCATATCTTGTCATTTACGGAGGGGGTATATTTCCTGCCTCGTGGAACAAAGCGTAGCTCAACAAATCCGAGGCTTTGGGAGTTTCGGAGAAAAAGACCGCGATGTTAAATCGCATGATATTGGAGGGCACGAAACAGGCCCACGCCAGATCACCAAAAGTTTCTTTCAACAAATTGATTATTCCGATTATTCCGGGCGTTGGAACCAAAGGTTGTCTCGGTTCACAACCGAAATTGCGACGTGTTTTACGGCCATTCGCCTTCAATTCTTACAAGAGTTGGGTTTTGGAAGCCCACAATAACTTCCATGAAGTGGGAACAGCTCTAAATGTTGCGCGCTTTTTCGGTGCCCTCTGTACGTCGTATATGAGGATAACAATTATCCACTAAAGTAAACGTGGTGCGAGACCGACCCATGGTTACTCAGACTACCTGCTGGACTATTATGTCTAGCGACAATTGGTTGCAGGGCGCGATGCCTGTTCATTATGAAATTGCCAACTGAGTATAAATCAAGCAACAGACTAACTTCGAAAATAGTAATGCACCATTGTTAGCCACACGTCTATAAAAATACTCAATATATATAATTGGCACTTCGTAACCGCTGAAAGCGAGCTCCTCCTCCCACTTGTGGTTTTGTGTCTTGAAGTTTTCCCAACAAATAGAGGGGGGTTTATACAAAGCCGCCTCCGACTGACTGATGGTTTTCTTACGAGGAGCTTTGATTTCAGGTCAGAAATACACTCGAAGGGGTTGAAATTCCCTGCCTGAGGGGTGACCGCAATTAGATATTAATTTTCTCTAACTTTGGGATATTGGTCGTACCAGGATTTGAGCCCGAGCCTTCCGAATGGCAGTACGCAACGCTAACCACTCGGCTACAGCGGCCATCCAATATATTTGAGTGAATTTCGGGTAAGCCAATACGTTTGCTTTGCTTGCTCCTAGGGTTTGAAACAGTCTAGTCTTGAAAGTATTCGATGCAATACACACTTCGTAGTATCACGTAAAAGAAATCACGTAGTCTCTCCAATTGGCGCCTAACATCAAAAAAGAAACTCAGCGCAATTAGAAAGAGGAATTCCAATGACTCAATTCAGCCATAAGGCGGCTTAGGCGATTATGACTAGTTACATTGTTAATATATGTACATAAATATCTTCAGAGCGAGTTATTCAAGTCCCTTGCACATGCGTGTACTGCAGCGGCCAACTAAATCATTGTGCATATTTGTATATTTACGAGTATACGTACATATGTATGTATGTATCTATGTACTTGAGAAGTATATTAATTTATGAATAAATAAGTACTCGTAACACGCCATGTCGACAAGTTCAACATCATCATTAGCATCATTAATAAGGGTTCTCGAGGATATGTAATTGTTATTTTGTTCCCCCCCCCCTGCCACAAAATGCCTTTCGCTACAACCCCCGATGGTATCATAAGCATCGGCAGACAGAAGTCAGCAATCAGACGTGCTTAGATATCTATCAGTTTTTGGACTCCTGTTTCAAGGGATCTCTAACAGCGAATGCGGTTGTTAACTATTAAACCAAAGTAATATTTATAATTTTAAGTGAGTGCCACCAAGAAAGTAAGAAGAAGAGAGAATATATCCCTATGCATTTATGTATGTATGTATGTAGGTGCTCTGTGAGGTATTTGGCTTGTGTGTGCGGTAGGCGAGTATGTAAAGAGAAAATTATTGGTGAAAAGTAAATTAGCTATTGTGAGTGCACCGAACGGTCCAGACGGAGGCAGGAAGCCGGCGAAATCCCAAACCAACTTTACGATGACATGCAGAACCGCCCTCGCTGGGTACATAGGAAGCAAAAAAAAAGAAATAAAATAAAAAATGAAGTGTGTTCTCTTATATACACGTATGTACATGTACATAGTACAAGGCTGCAATCTGTTGCGTACAACGGCTGTGTACAAACCGCAACGCTGGCGACGTAAAATGAGTTGTAGGAGGACTAAGACAAACAAACACTAAATGGAAAGGCACCGTGAAAGAGAAAAGAAAACAAACATAAAAGTTTATAATGCATGAAATTGCCCATCAAAGATTAGAGGCTCGACAAGACATATCCAATTGCAGCGCGAGCGTCGAGCCGCTGTGAGGCGCAATTACATACGCGTTCATACAAACATACAAACATTCTCGTACATGTGTATGTATGTACATATGTACATATACGAGTGTGTGCAATTGAAACCGCCAACAGCAGCAGATGCCATTGTTTTTATGCGTACATACATATGCATGTATGTATGTACGGATGTATGTATGTATGTCATGCCTTTACTATTTGCCGGCACAGTCGTCAATTTACCGCATACCATTGACAGTCGAAGATGTCAAACGCAACACGGCGTTGGTGTGGCAATCGCCGCATTTGTTATTGCTGCTGTCATTGACGGCTGCTGCATTTGTTGCTCTCCACTTGTTTATTTTATTTAATTAGCTTGTAATGCTGCTCACATTAATTTTTACTGTTGCCATTTGCTTTGAGTTTTTGGTCTTTTACTCCCGATAGAGGGTGAAATAGGATATTTAAATAAAATTAACGAAATAAATTGATTAGGCGAAAGGCGTGCTGCGACTGTGGAAAACCATTAGTGAGTTAAAGTTGTCAAACTCCTTTGTCAGTGGGAGGATGGCTGCCATACATATAAACGTAGCTCAACCGGAAGGTGCTGACCAAGTAAAAGAGGGAATGCAGAACAGCACTGTAAGAGATACTAGTATCTTAGGTCCGTGGATGGTAGGGCTTAACTTCTCTTATTCATCGTCTAACTCAGCAAAGAGGTAATTTCCTTGTGTGAATGTGTGTAGAGAGTTGGCGTAAAAGACAAGGTGGTCCACCAAATGGACGGAGTTCATCCATTGCCCCTGGATAACTTCTTCCGCTCCCCCACAACACAAAAAAAGCAGAGATGAAGGGGCATGTGACGCCGACGCCACATGTTCTCTCAAATAAAAAACATGCTAGTTTCAGCCTGGAAGCTTGGGCGAAAGTTGTGGGAAATATAGTACTCAATCCGGGCAGACATAAAAGAGAGGAAGATTCGGAGTTTTTTATCTTTCCGATAACCGATTAGTTTGCAGCTGTGCGCAAGGAGTTTCAGAGAAGTTTCTGTTCGTTCGGGTGTTTGTTGTGATTGCAGCATTTCGACGTCGAGTCTTTATTTTGTTTGTTGAAGGGACGTTCTGTTCTATACAGAGGCGGGCGCGTATCCTTGATTCGTCTCTTCCATCGGGGTTAGGCTCAAATAAGTGATAAGTTGAAAAACTTTGCTTTGATGCGCATTGTCCCAGACGTTCTTCTACTCGACAACTGTGTCACTCTCTCATCGCGAATACAACTCCAAATTTGCGATTTTTTATGGCCGCTGTATGTGTCACAAGGTCCTACTCACTTCCCCCTTTGTCACGTCATAGGCACTTTTTGGACGGTAGTAATGTCAGCCTTTAGTGCTACGAAGACATCAACCCTCCCAATTAAGGGACCGCACATTCCAGGTACATGCCCTCAAACCGTGACTCTTAAAACATTTGCTGGGGCCGTCATCAGAAGGGGGTATCTTATCCAAAGCATGTTTGAATTTTTTATTACAGTTGATTTCAACGTGGAGAGTCCCAAGCCCACCGAACAATCAAGTTTAAATTTCGCACACATTTATGTCGCGAGCCGTTTGCTTCTAGACCGGTGCCAGCTCGTAATTGCACCTCTGATGAGCAGGCGTTGCAATTGAACTTTAGCGAACCATTAAGTTGAGTAAGTCGGAGCGGCTTCACTGGAGCTTGCTCCTTTTACGCGTGGCCCAAGGCTCCACACGGTTTGGGTACCGCATCTTGCGCAGGGGTTGCTCACGTTCTCACCTTGTGAGGATGTGCGACGTGGGCGTATGTGTAGGTATTAGTTCCATGAATGTAACAGCATAACCATTACAAAAGCAGGATCCCCAATCTGATGAAATGATCAGGTAGAAAAGGAACTATGGTCACTCGGATTCGGAATGCGCAAGCAAGAAAAGATTGGCGCGATATTATTGATTCGACAGCGCTTTTGCCAACTAAGAAGAGGAAGACTTACCCGTTTCTATCGACGACATTCTTTGACAGAAGAAGAATTGAACGCTTTAGATTTCAAATTTTATTTGTTATTGTATTTGTACTTGGTTTATTTCAGAGTGATTTATTACAGAAGAAATACATAAAAAATACTGGATGCGATGACTATTGCTATTGCTATCAATACTTATGTGCATACATACATTTGTATATAATATCCTATAAACATAACGTTCTACATATTTTACATATATGTACATATATTTTACATTATGTATTTATTTATTTATACATGCAGTTTTATACAAAATATTTATATACTCGTATATATGTATGTACTGCTATCTAGGCATATGCTTTTGTGGGAGGGGGGGGGGGGGGGCCTGCTTGGGTGATGTGGAATATCAAAATATACAACTTAACCTAACACGGAGCGCAAATCCGCCGCAATGACTCCGTTGGACTCTAAACTATAAATAATTCTGAAAAAAATCTAAAATAATTTCTGAATTTTTCCGGTTTCAACCTTTTTTTTGCCGTAATAACAACGAGGTAATGTTAGTTGTTTAATTCTTAATAATGAGCTGGACCCCACCGCATGTTTACTCTAAACTATAAATCTCAGTTGAATATGTCAACGAACATTTATACAAATTCACATATACATATGTATATACATATGTGTGTATATGGATTTAGTCCGTTTGGGCTGTTAGCACTAGCTGCTGCCTCCTAAAATGGCTGAAATACTAAAACCTTTCCGTTTTGGCGGGGAATGGCTCATTAAGCTCTGCAGTTGTTGCATTTGTGTATCGTTCGACAGCGGAGTGGCATCTGCTCTTCCATCGTCTTTGTCAACGGCTCGCGGCGCCGACTCTTCGATGTGGGGCGGCGGCAGCGTATGGCATGGGGTTTCGTTAGCACGTGTCGGCATCGATGAATCGACAAATTCTGCATAAGAATAGCGCTCGGCGATTGCTGGTGGCATCGCAACGGGCAGGTTTTGATCGTCGATGCCTAAATGTGGTGGGTGCATGTGTTGAGCGTAGATGGGCTGTGTGCGACCAAAATAAGTGCAAGCCAAATCGACCAACGACGGACGGAGCATTGTTTGCATGTTTTGCTGCAAATGTTGCAAAATGAACGACGACGAATGATGACCACCACCACCACCACCACCGCTGGCGAAGGAAGTAGAAGCAGCAGCAGCAGCAGCAACAACAGCAGTAGAAGCGGCATTCTGCTCTGACAGTGGCGTAAACAACACCGATTGTAAACTCGTTTCGTCGGCAGCAAATGAATAAGACTCACGTTCGCTAACCGCATGCGCATTAACGTTCAACTCTTCCAGCGGTGTCGATGCTATCGAGCCGGCGGACCCATTTGATCTCAAGCGCTTAATTTGCGGTCTGCCATCATCGGTATCGGCATCTGCTATAATGTCAACGTCCACAAAGGCTGCCTCGTCGCTGCTCGTACTCGTATGTACTGGCTTATCAGAACAAATTGATGAACCCGACTCGCTGGTCACCGCCGTTGACATTGTTGGCGACATGGCGCTACGCTGACTGTGGGAATGTGTTTGAGACTGAGATTGTGATTGTCTCATTCCGTATTGGCGCCCCATATGTTGATGTGTTTGCTGTTGTTGCTGTTGTTGTTGTTGTTGATGATGATGATGATGATGTTGCTGTGGTTGCTGCTGTTCAGCATCCTCATCGGAGGGCGATGAAGACATTTTACGTTTACTACGCGATTGACCAGTTTCGCGGAAGCCCTTCGCGAACGGATTGTTGTCTATTTTCAATTTGGTGATGCGATCATTCTGTGAAATGTGAAATGTGCAAAGTGAGCTGATTAATGCTTGGAATTAATAAATTAAATTCGAATGTATGTATGTGTGTATGTATGTACTGTATTTATCTATGTGTGTGTATATGTGAGTATATGCATGTATGTACGTGTCTGCATGTACATACATAGGTACATAGCTTGAAAAGTAGGAAAAGTGTAAATGGGCAAGCATCCTCAGTCCGACATTGGCATGACATAACAGTTTTGGTCGCACAGGAGACACTGATTCGGTTAATTAGTTATATTCAGACTGGCGCCCAAAAGAGGCGAAAACAAAAACACAGCAAGAGCTCAAATCATCCGTTCATTCCATTGATCGCCTCAGCTAGTCCTACTGCGGCATTGGAAAATTATTTGCTATTTGATTTTTGAGTTGGCAGGAGGCGTTACATGCTAATTTGGCTCGTCGATTGGTTTACCTTTTCACTTCTTTTCATTCATAATGGCACCAGAGGAGTCCTACATAAAGACTACACGTATGTGTGCGCCTGTGTATGCATATTCGTAGACGGATATACGTATGTATGTACGTATGTATTAATTTTCAATTATCTTGTCTTCATCAATTGCACTCTTGAATTTGTTTGCCCTCTTAGTGAGAGATTGATATATGGTCATACATACATACATATATGTATATATGTATACCGGAATCCAGTTGCGAAGATTACTTAAAGCGTTCTAAAGTGATAATAATTGTGTGGGTTTCATCTCCAAATATGACTTCCGTTTTATTATTCTTCTTTTTTATAGAATTACGAACGGCCTTTTTACTCAGGGAAAAATTTAGTGGGTATCCAGTTACAGTCGCAGGGGTATATTCACCTCATCCACTTGCAACCACAAAGCCCCGTGAAAAGAGAATTGACACTGTTTGAATAAACTGACCTTAAGCAACTCCGAAAGCTCCGTCAGGATCGGGAAGGATTTCCTCGAGCCGTTCGATATTAAACCAAGTTTCAGACAAGGTGACTCCTTATCTTGTGACTTCTTCAATTAATTGCTAGAAAAAACATTACGATCTTCAGAGCTGAACACCGAAGGTACAATACTAGAATGCATAACTGCTTGCGTACGTCGAGGAAATAGAAATCAGTGGTCTCAACAGCCGCACAGTGAGATCTGCTTCCTTCTGACTGGGGAAGATAGCGGAGCGTATTGGTCTGGTAGCGAATGAAATATCTTTTGTCATGAAACAAATAGCCAGCACCTCCGCTCCCAAACTCTATAATTCACTCATTATTCTCGTTCTGCTATATGGTACGAGGCATGGACGATGGCAACGTCTGAAGAGTCATCGGTAGGAGTTTTTGAGACATAAGTATTGCGAAAGATTTAGGGCACTCTACTCACCCGCTGCGCTGGCTATGTAAAGTCGTTCGAATGGATGAAAGCGTTCTAGCGTTCGATTATTGACTCGGCTATAATCGCGTAAGAGGTACGTACGAGTATGTATGTGCGCACTCTACTTTCGGGTTATCGAATAATATGGAAAGCTAGAGTTAATTAAACCGGTTTGACAATACCTGATCTGACTGTAGTAGTGTTGCAAAGTCAAAAAGCGCTACTATTGTGAATGAACCATTAAACAAACTTCTAGGGAAGTTCTCGGTAAACGTGAAAAGGTAAGAAATATTTCTCCTTGTCAACTTTACCAAATCTATAACTTCAAACAATTTTTTACACTGCAGCAGAGATAGGACAGTAGGCCATGAATAGCTTTATGAGAGGGAAGATTCTTTGTCGCTGAAACGTTTTTTGGCCAAGCTCCTTTTCCTCCAATTTGTGGTGTGTGTGTTGATATTTTTCCAACAAATTGAGGGACCTATAATTTATACCAAGTAACCTCCGAAAGGCCGATGGATTCTTACAAAGTTCTGGTTATTTAATACACAAGGAGGGGTAGTCATCCTTTACAGATGGCAGTCCGCTAAGCGAAGGTTTCTTAAAACAAATAATAAAAATTTTGCCTCTTCAAACTCTCAAAACTCGATAACATCGATAATTCAATGGGATCTTTAGCAGAACCCCGAAAAGTTCACAATGTTAGGCTCGACAGGGAAATTGGTGGGTAATGGTTTTTTCCTCTTGACTTGATTTCCAGTATCCTCTATTTGTATCCTTTTGGACCGACCTCCACTCATACATACATATCCGCCTATTTATATATGTATGTATTATATATGTAAAAAATTCTTATGCACAATGAAGTGTTGCTCACCTGATAGGCTGTTACTGCCACAAATTCTGTTTCGGGAAATACGAAGGCTTGCTGTGGAGCCCAAGGAATTTGTGTTAGATCAGCGGTACGTATCACGTGTATGCGAGGTTGATACTTATGCATACTGGCTAAAACAATCTGCAAACGAAACATACATAGATTCTCATAAATACATATGTATTTGGAAATTATATACGTAAATACTCGAATATAAAGGGTGTTTATTTTTAGACGTGTGATTCGTTCGACATAATCGCCCAGAAAAGGCAGTAATTCGAGCAATCAAATCATATGCGTTTGATTTCTTCATGAAAACCACATGTCTAAAAAAAAAACACCCTTTACAAAGTCACAATACATACATGTCCGTTGCTATCCAAAGTGTTGTTAGTGAGCTTAACTTTGTTGAAGAGAATTGGTTGTGCCTGCCAATGGGCACCCGATGCGGGACTATCCGGATGCAAATACATTCTCTGCGGGCTCTGAGGCTCTGCACCTCCAGCAGGCATCCATTGCGAACCGGAGAATTTGTAGCGACAATCACCAATCGGCACCATTTCTAAGAGAACACAATAATTGGACTCGTCCTCCAGACCGGAAAGGGAAAGGCGCATCGATGGAAACATGCGTCTAAATAAAATGAACAGAAAAAATTAAGAAGTCTATAAGAATATGGTACGAGGACATGCAAAATATTTATATATATTTAATTAAAAAAAAAAAGTATCTACGTATGTCTTGGCGATTAGTTTAAATTAGCAGCAATCAAATTATTTAAGCAGCTCGTTCACAAAAGTTCAACAGCGGCACCCCGCGCGGTGGTCATACTGAAGTAGTGTGGACTCCCTAGGGACTGTTTGGTAATAAACCAAGTATTATATCCAAAAAGACCGGGATTATTGTTTGGGCCTAATATTGCCTCTCTGAATTAGTTCTTGATAAACACTTCGCTACCAGCACATGGATGAGTAGGCAAGAGGAAGTGCCTGGAGGGAGAAGCACTACGGGTATCCCGGGTGTATCGACGTTTGGTATAAATAAACATTATTCTGACTACTATGGGGTTGTCTTGACCTACAATCCACTTTTGGAATGCTCAAGGCTAGTTAGCCTGATCTCGCCCTCTCTTGTGATATATTTCGGTAAGGCTAATTTTGATGATCGGTCACAGCAGTGTCTCGTCTTTTCAAAGGCTATACTCATACCAGAACGTGAGCGTAAGTTAGAATCTTCTGACCTAGCTTAGATCGTGGTACATCAGGAAATCGTCTTGTACTCGTTAGGTGATACCTCTCGCCTTTAATGGTGCCACTGTTCACACCACGAGGTTACGATGTTTAGAACCATTATATAAGCTAGGAATCTAAGACGAGTCTTCTTCATTAAGAAATATACGATTTCGAATACCCCTCTTCCCTTAAGGAGATGTGTTTGGTCACAGTTATTTGCCAGAGATAGATTTCTCAATATTTAGTAAACCTTTATCTTAGGGGGAAGGCGCACAATTTGTGATGACCCCAATTGGTCACTTTACGATTGGTACATTTGCGGCGAGAGTAAAGAGTCAATCTGACTTATGGATTTTTGAGGTTCGTGAGACGAAATATCTTAGTGGTTGCTTCTAAACTGCGTTGATTTCATGAGAACAATGTGGTTTTCACGGTTTTACTAACCTAAATGAGCCGCGGTAGCTGCACGGTTAACTTTGCGAACTGCAATTCGGAAGACCAGGGTCCAAATCCTGGTACGACCAATATCCCAAAGTTAGAGAAAATTCATATCTAATTGCGGTCACCCCTCAGGCAGGGAATTTCAACCCCTCCGAGTGTATTTCGGACATGAAAAAAGGCTCCTCGTAAGAAAATAATTAGCCATTCAGAGGCGGCTTAGGTTGTAGATCCCTCCATTTGTTGGAAAAGCATCAATTTGCAAAACCAAACATTGGAGGAGAAGCTCGGCAAATCGCTTCAGCGGTTACAAAGCGCCATTCCAATATAAAAGACCTTTGACCAGATTTTCCCCATGCTTGAAGTCATGGCAGAGACCCGTGAAAATGGAATTGATAACTCAGAAACTAGCTGCCTCCATGCCATGTCTGAACTTCGTGCTCCTGCAAAACTTATGGGACTCTGTAAATTGACGCTGGACAACGCCAGAAGCGCAGTCAGAATTGAATTGAGCCGGCCTTAGGAGTATTCGAGGTTCTATGAATCATTTATGGACCTATGCGCGTTGGCTTCGGCGAATACTGAAGACCATGCGGCGATGAGCTTTATAAGATATAAAGCGACATTGACATAGTTCAACGAATGAAGACACTGCGGTTACAATAGCTGAAGGAATTCCAGCTCTGAAAGCCTTCCAGCTCCTGTGAGCGCTGGTGTAAGTGGAGTAAGACGAAAGGTGGATAGCGAATTGGGTTCACTTGGTATTTCCAACGAGCTCCAAACAGCGAAGAGAAAAAATATCGGGTGCTGTTTTTGATCGCGTAAATGGTTCCTGCTCCAATGAAGAAGAAACAGAATGGGCTAGAAGGTCCTTTTATTCCACCAAAACGTTCATAAAAGTGTGTATGTACATATGTACATGCATGTATCCTGACAACAAAAGGTATTTAATAAACATAATTTGAGTTATGCACAATATCTCCAAAGTGGGCGTAACCAGAATGGACTCGTCGTACTTTTAATTTATTTACGCGTCGAAATTCTTGAACTTCAAACCTTATTTGATCAGCAAATATTTATGTATGTATGTACATATGTATGTGTGTGCGAGTACGAGCAAATATGTCTAGGAGAGCACACGAAAAAAGGTACCAATACTCATAATCATACGAGCAATGTATGATGCTACATACATATATGTATGTTTGTCGTTTTATATTGTGTCTGTGTATGTATGTAATTTAAAATGTACACATAATTTTTAACGGCTAAAAGGATGCGACGTGTGGTCAGCAGGTGGGCAAGCACTTGGCGCCAGCCATAAATATACATACATACACGTATGTATATGTATGTATATATGTGTGTGTGTGTTTATCAATACGCCGCTCAACATTTAAACCAAATCGTGAAATTATTTGTATATCTCCATGCATAAGGCGACAAGGGAATGAGGTTGTTTGTGCATACATATGTACATATGTAGATATGTATGTATATACTTAAGTTTATACAAATGCATATCTAGTTGCCTCGATGATTAATTATGGAATCTTTCAGTTTCTTTATGCTAAATTCTTTTTTGAACAAATACAAACGGGCATGCATATATATGAATATTTATGTGTATGTGTGTTTGTGTGTGTGTGTGTACACAAAAATCGCTACCATCATTAGGTTTGTCAAATTGGAAATCTTCTTCTCAACGTTTTTAATACAAAACTTCCAAACAGCAGCATCTTTGGGAGACAACAGCATCTCGTATCTATGTTCAGATCGTGGCCATCACTTGTCACTCCGTGGACAGGTATCGATTACACACACAGTATTCGCCTCTATCCACTGACAACTGGCGCCCAACAATTAAAAATTCAAATAAAAGCAATAAAAACAACTATTCTTGCACACCATTACCACTCATTTCGGACGTCAGCTTCTAACTGCATATACATATGTATACATATGTATGTGTATGGATGTATGTTTGTTTGTTTAAATGTATGTAGGGACATTTGGAAATTCAGCCACTTGGCTACTACTCATAAATAATTCATATCAACCAAATACAGCTTCCTTTCCAAAAACAAAATTAAAAAATGAATTTTTCTTGCCTCTTGGGCTTTTGAGTGTTTGTATGAATGAGCGTGTGTGCGTTTGTGAGAAAAAAAAGCATTTCGAGATTTTGGACAACTTCAAATTATGCTAATTCTTGAATCGCTACCAGAAAACATAGTTCGAACCGTCGGCGTTGTGAACGTGCATGTACATACATATGTGTGTACGTTTGTATGTATGTATGTATGCTTATATGTATGCTTCGATCCAAATTGAATGGACCAGTGTTTGGCTACTGTCCGGCTCTTTTATTCTCTGTTTTTTATACGGTTAGTTCGTTTAACGCATTTAACGCCGTCTCCTCGATCTCGATCTCAGTCTCAGTCTCAGTCTGCACAGTCTCAGTTTCTTTCTTATCGGCCAGCCGATCAAAATGCTTGTTGAAAGTGTGAAATTGCTCGTAGTACCTGTCGGACAATGGATGATGACACGCTGCGGACATTGTCAACGTATCATTTTTTAATACAATGCATACAGACAGACATACATTACATATATACATACATGACAATATATGTGCGATAGCAGATCGAAGCGTCTCATTGCTGGCGCCGAAGATAGCGAGCATGTTATTTTCTTTTCGTTTGAAAAAAAACTGTCTACCGAATGCAGATGGATGCATACATACATATGTACATATGTAGATATGTAGATACAATCATATATTTGTGTGACAGTTGGCAATTTAATTGCTTTTAGTAACATACATACATACATACATATGTATGTACATACCTGCCTATAAATATCACTCAAATCTACATACATACATACATATATGTATTTACAGGTGTGATATGCACAAAACATTGACTATTGCTCAGGTGCCATTTATACATTCATGTATAAACGTGTATACCTGTGTGGAAATGTAGACGCTCGATTGAACCTCTACTCTCAAAGTCGTTCTCATTATTATCTCAAACAAAAATCAATGACTGTAAACCGGGTTAGTCATTTTTCAAGTTTCATTTATCGGCGGCGGCGCGAACTCTTTTAATTTTCTCATAAACAAACATACAGATTTGTATATGTAAATATGTATTCACGCATCAAAACACGTGAAGCATTTCTAACATTGATTAGACTCTAACGGTGTGTCGACAACTCAGACAACTCAAGGCTGATGGAAAATGATGCCGGGAATGGTCCAAAGTGATGCGCCATTAAAACAGATCCTTTTTTTCATATTTTCAAATATGCACAAAGTGGCAACGCTGGTTTAAAATCTCATATGTATAATCTTTTAAAGTACTATGTACACACATATCTACATACAAACGTACATATGTACGTACATATATTTTGCGTGCACTCGGCATTTACGATAGAATTTTCGCGTCATTTATTTGCTTGTGAGAAATTCTTGTCGCGCCGCCGCTGTCGCCATTAACAAAATACACACTCGTAAATGCATAAGTGTATGTATGTATGTTTGTATATATGTATACACACATAAATACTTCACAGGCGCCATTCTTTGATGACCACTTAACAGCATTTTTTGACTAATGTCGTCGCGCCATTGAGGAACGTAAAGTGTGTTACTTTTCATCGGCATGCGACGCATTCAACGTCTAGTTCCGTAACGATGTGTTAAGACGGTATTTATGTATGTACATATGTACACATGCATATACATATGTACATATGTATGTATGTGTGTGTGAATGCTTGTATGTATGTATGTATGTCGGTTTACTTGTTAAGGACGAATAAACAAATGCATTTCGTGTGTACGTGTATGTAAAAATTGTTGTATGTTTGTGTGTTAGAAAGTTGCACTTGTAACAATAAATACAAGCAACAAAATGCCAACTCACATGCACATACATACAAACATACAAACATACATAAATCTAAAAATTAGAATCGGAACTAGTTAGAAGTAATGCCTTTTATAGGGCTATCCATTTTGTGGTTTCGAAAATAAGCGTAAATAAAATGCATATAAAATAATTTTTATTTTCTGAAAATCCTTTTTTATAATAAACCTTGGAGGCTTATGTGTGTGTGACACACTACATCATACAAAAGATCGTCTCGTGAAGTTTTCCAAATTTCGGTACCGACCATATTGGGCGATATCTCAGCCTCTACTTGACGGCTGGGTTCAAGAGTTAAAGGTTTGTCCGCATAAACACAATCTTTCGCGTAGCCAAATGTCATCGTCAAGATCTGAGATTTCGTTGCGTGAAATTTCTCTCGCTATATAGTTATATTCCAACAACTTGTCGAAATCACCTATTGTCCAAGTCGCGTTCTTCAATGGCAAGCCAGAAAAGGTCGGTTATCATGCCATGAAAATGCTTCGAATTGACAGCGACAAACTCTCCGTTAAGGAGCCACAAATGCGACAACTTTTCTAATTTACGTATTCCCCTGTGAGAAACGTGCCTCATCGCTGAAGAAAATATTGTTCGAAAATCGTCATGTTATTGAAGCACGTATTCACGGCGTTATGAATGGTCAGTTGGTTTCAGTTGTTATGTGAGCTGGACTTTATGAGGATGAAGGTGTAATCCCAAATGCAAACTACGCCACAATGTGTCGTAGGAAAGTCCCAGCTCTTGAGAATGTCAAAAAATAGACACAGTCTTCGGCTACACTTTCAGTTATGGTATCGTTTTTTGAGGTGTAACGAACAAAACGATGTTGTACAGGCCTTACAATATCTCTAACCGATCCAGTCTCTTTAAAGGCAAGACGAAATATCTCCTGTCTTCAAACAAATAGTCATCGAATGCGCTACTCAGCTCCCACGTCACTGTTGACAGTCATAACTTTGAAGTTGTAGATAATTTCGTCTATCTAGGCACCAGTATTAGCACCAACAACAATATCAGCCTGGAAATCCAACCTAGAATCACTCCTGCCAACAGTTGCTACTTTGGACTGAGTAGGCAAACGAAAACCAAACTCTACAGGTCACTCTTCGTTCTCATCCTGCCATATGTTGCGGAGGCATGGACGATGACGGCATCTGATGAGTCGGCGTTAGTATTGTAGTTTTCGATAAAAAGGTTTTGCGTAAGATTTATGGTTTTTTACGCACTGGGAACGGCGAATATCGCAGACGATGGAGTTATAAGGCGACATAGACATAGTTCAGTGAATCAAGAAACAGCCCCAGCGCTGGCTGGACCTTGTGGTTCGGATGGATAAGAATTCTCCAGCTTTGAAAGCTTTCGATGCAGTACCCGCCGGTAGAAGCAGAGGAAGTGGAAGACCACTACTCTATTGGAAAGACTAGGTATGGAGAACCTAGCTGTGTTTGGCAGTAAAGACCAAATTAATGGCGCAATGTTATAAACTCGGCTGGGTGTCTACGCCAGTAAAGAAGAAGAAGTATAAGAGGAAGAAGAAGAAAAAGAAGAGAAAGGAATATATTTTTATAAATGGCTGACTTTTAACTTAAACAAATTAAGTTGGATTTGACAGATGTCGAAAAATAGCTCTATACTTTTGAAATTTCAAAATACAAAATTCGATTTCGATGATTTCCAATATCCGAATTACTACGTGAGCAGAATATAAAATGCGATTTTGATGACATCGCCTCCATCATAAATTTACAACGATTTTTCAACGTCGAGATTTTAGGTTGAAAAATTAACGAAGTTGTTAGTTTCACGGGCCTCTACCATGCAACTAAAAACCTTTGCATGTAATATACGCTTCCGCTCAAACTTAGCTCTGCCTTAGTTTTTAGAAAATACTCTAACTGTATTTAATTTCGATATGTACAATTTATAAATACTCAGCCTCTTACCTGCCGCTCTTTGTTATTATCATTTCTGTTCCGATTTGATGAAACTGTTTCCAGAGCTGATCATTTTGCAGAGTAACTTCGGCGCCCGGCAAAGTGATCCTCGGTGGCATTATCACATGACGCGGCATTGGAATCGGTAGCATGGGCGGGAAGGGATCTAAAAAGAAGATATTGGAATTGAAAAAACGCATATTATGTATGCATACGTAAGTACATATGTAAATATATCGAATTAACTCAGAGGCTTCGCGAAAAAATAATAAATGTCTATTTTGGGTGAAATTAGTGGTTTCTTCTGTATTATGACTTATGGCAGGAGCCAACTTAAGTTATTTTGTGTTGTTGTCTTCGGCGTTATTCTTAGTGGGAGAAACCGAAACCGTTTCTATTACCTTAAAACTGCGGCCGTATAGCCGAGTTATTAGCATTGCATACTAACTTTTGGCTGGCCAGGGTTCGAGTCCTGGTTTAACCAACACAAAAATTATACAAAATTAATTTCTCTAATTGATGTCGCACCCCGGCAGAAAATGTTAAACGCTCCGAGTGTATTTCTGTCGTGAAAATTGGAACTCCTTATAAAAATCCATCGGCCGTTTGAAAGCGGCTTAGAATTAACTGTGGACCCCTCAAGACATCAAGATGCAAAACCACAAATTGGAAAAGGAGCTCGGCGGAAAGCCACTTTAATGCTTACGAAGCGCCAGTGAAGTCTATTAGATGTATGAAAAAGTAAACGCAAGAAGTAATAATAGAACACATCTGCCGACGGGAAACGGCTTTAGAAATTAACAACTGTTTGAGGATGTTAAATTTGTAAAGACTCATAAATTTATAAATTTTAGCCGGCAGTTGTACATTCTTATAGAATATTGTACCTTCTAACTTCAGAGCTTTAGTCTTTCGCACAACACGATGTTGAGGAGGCTTGCAATTGGCGTTTTATAACCGCTGAAGAGATTTTCAGCCGAGCACCTCCTCCATTTGACGGTTTGTCGTCTTGATGGTTTTCCAACAAATGAAGAGACCCACGTTTATACTAAGCCGCCTCCGAACGGCTGATGGGTTTTCATGAGGAGCTTATCATGTCATGTCAGGAATACACTCGAGGGGGTTGACATTCCATGCCGGGGGCGACCGCAATCAGCACACTTAAATGAAATTTTTATTTAAATAATTTTCTATAATTTTTGGATGTTGATTGTACCAGAATTTTGACCCGGGCATGCCGAGTGGCAGTACGAGCCATTCGAATGGCGACCGCCAGAAGGGGCTTGCCTAAGGATAATTGGCGCAGACGGTGGAGTCGCCGTATTAGTGGATCGGACAGAGCACTCTTATGTAGGTTCCAGTATTGGGCATGTTTTCGTTCGACAATATTCTGCAAAGATTTACATGGATGCACCGTGTTCGTCGCCACCATATTTGAATACCATCTTCCTTTCAGACAATGAACATTTTCTTTCCATTGTCAACTCTCAGAGAATCGGGCTCACCATCTCCGGGTGTTTCATTTTCACAGCCATTCAGCAGTCTGAAGAAGTCTTCCGTCCTTACACTAAGTATGCTCTGGATATTGGTTACCAGTTTACCTCCTGGGCTCTTACATAAGTATTCTCCGATCTGGAAATCTTCTTCTCGTGTATTTCGACCTCTTTCTTTTTTTGTCTGCAAATGCACATGTCCTGCCTCTTCAGCTCTTAGTATCAGTCGGATACCGAACATGTTGTGGTTAGAAGCAACGTTCTGAGGTTGGCAGCTCATTTTCTCTCCACTGCATTTCCACATTCTTGTAGTACCAGAACCATATTTCGAGCGCGGGCCCCATTCCGTTTGAAGATGTTTCCCATTGGAGGTAGAATTCCTCGACTATTGCTCCCAAAACAGCTTCCTCACATGGCGTTAAAGTCGCTAAGAACAAATTACAAATCGCAGCAGAGGCAGCGCCCATGGGTGATCATAGCAGCTCCTTTGTTCACATCATCATTCCGTCGGAATGTGGGCACAAATAATATTGTAAATACGTGTATGTTGACGCTAGTACTCGGCGGCACAGCCTGTCTCGCTCTTCTCCCTCCATCGCACATATTTGGTGACAATGTTTTCAACTGAACATTTTAGGTGCATGCTTACAACCCGTGACCCTTGCAGGGGTCGTCATCAAAAGGGGGTCTCTCATCCAACGCATTTGGTTGTTTTTAATTTGCCAAAAATCATTTTAACGTATTTTTAATGTAGTGGCTGGATTAGCCTTCTCACCTTAGGTCGCCTCAAAACGGATGTTTGTTGGCTACCCAGAGAGACTAATCTTTGGCTATATCTAACATACACTTATGTGTATATAAATATTTTTAATATTTTACATTACTTGACCAATTTACATTATTATATAATAATACCAATTATAAAAATTGAGTTCAAGAAAACACATAAAGCCGCCGCAATGTGTGTCCGGGGTTTTCTAGTAATGAATAAATTTTTTCCCAAATTAATAAATAAATAAGTTTACCTGGTATGCGTTGCATTATTTGTTGGCGGTAGATCTCGTGCGCGATTTGTTGTTGCATGCGCAAATCCACCAAATCATTCATTGTCATCATTTTGTATGGATTTGATCAGTTAATGATGCCACAATTAGATATGTAAATTCACTCGAAAATGATGTTTGTTTGCCTTGACTGTTTTGGTATTGGAAGTCAAGCCCTTTTTAGGTTTTTATTTAAATTTTAGTTTATTATTATAATTTTTGTTTTTGTTTTTCATTAGTAAAGGAGTATTTTCGGCAATAATTTCCGACATTCACAGATTCTAATCACTTTATGTGCTTTTTTATACACCGATTTAAAGGCATTCATAATTTACTTGCTTATAAATGTACATACACAAGTACATATGTACAATAAATGTATGTATAATAAATGATGAATTTTCACATATGAGTAACACCTCAATTGATTTAAAGTCACGTCGGAACTTCACATATTCGTACATACATATACATGTACATATGTATTTACTTTTGGTATTTTTAGCACGATAATCATATAGCGTTCGCCTTAGCAAAACTGGTGTTAAATGATCGAGATCAGGTGTTGATAGCAAACTCGCTAAACTCTTCAATTCTTTTGTTATTAATTTCGAAAAGTGTTAATGATGCTCATGTCCACATGTTTGTATGTGCATACATAGTATCTATAGGCTCTAGTACTATTGGCATTAGATCGTGCGACGAGCAGCTTTTGTGTCACAGCAAATAGTCATGCGCATGAACATACATACCATTGTCGTACGTATTTATGTATATATTTTGAACGTGCGCGTATATATGTATACATATATATATATATATATATATGTATTTACATAAGCACAGCAAATACAAGAAGCTTCGTTAATCGCGTGCGGGCGTTAATTCAATTAGTTGACAGTAGAGGCTTCTATTGCATAGCTCGATACATATGTACGAGTATGTTCGTATGTTTGTTTGTATCTACATAAGTAGTAATTCCACGAAAATAACAATGATGAAATTTAAATATGTCTTATCACTTGACTTGATCAAATAGTAACGCCAATGGCTTAAGCGAGCGACACACGCGCACAAACAATTCTATGCTATTTCCAATAAGTATGTATTATCACTGGCACATGCGTCGTAATAAGTATATTGTTACGTGGCTTGCCGTTCGAGAGTCGTGCCCGTACCTTATTAAGTTTACATTTAAACTGAGCGCCAATAGCGAAGTTTGCGCGTTCAGTGCAACGCTCAAAGCGCTCTTGTATGGCGCTGAAGGTCGGCACAGACATACATACATACGAGTGTACACAACACCACATAAAGCCCCATATATGTATGTATGTACATACATACGTATAATTGAAAGCAAGATGTGCAAATGAGCGTAAAAATATCTTAACACGTTATAGTGATGTGAAGCATTTTGTTAAACAACCTTAAACACTGATGAGAGCACACTAATATAATATTTGTAGCTGCTACTTTTCATAAAGCCGGTTTTCGGTTTTCACTGCTTCGACTGCTCAGCATGATCGGCAAGCATGAAGAAAAAAAAACAGCTGTGTTGTTTGCAGCAACTGTGAGAGCCGTGTTCCCGACCGAGCACGTGTCGAGATGGTGAGCAGGCGAAAAGTGTTCTGATTGGCTGTTACAACCCTCTTGTGGAATTGGTGTGAGTATTTGTGGCACATTATATTCCGATTTCAGTTGGCTTAGTTGGTTTGCTGTTGCCTCCATTTTGAAAATGTATGTATGTCGGCGTTGGTGCTGATATTGACGCTTGGAGCTGTTGACTTTCAACACGACCACCGCTCGCTGTCGACATTGCCAGCTCCGGTTCGGTTGATACCTACCTACACGTATATGCATACATGCATACTTATCTGCGACGAGTGTGTGCTGTAGCCTCATCTATCGTCATACATTTTGACTCCACCCCTTCGGTTAGCTGCTGTGCCTTTACAGGTAGAGTGAGTGGATCTTTGTAATTAAATACATACATATACATATATATGTACATATGTATGTGTACACATCCTGCGAAGAATTTGTATTTTAATGCTCATCGTATCATATCTACCTACATACAAACACACATGCATACAAACTTACATAGATGAGCGACGCTTCAGTGAATAGAATAGAAATATAAATACATACATACATTTATTTGTGAGACTGCATTTTTAATGAATTTAAAAAATGATCATAAGAACATATGTCTGGATGTACATACATATGTATGTATGTATGTATATATGTAAGTGCATAACTTCATTTAACGACAAAGTGCGAATTAGCTAAGTAACACAAAGAAGCTATGTATGAGCAATGGCTGCTATACATACTTATGAATGTATGTACATATATATGTAGGTATTTATGTAATTTTACATACAACAATTATTATGTTGCTGCTGATAATAGCCTTTTTTAGTGCGTAGTAGTGGCAGTGTTGCACAGTTAATAGCTGCATTTTAATTACATACATATGTATGTATGTATGTACATACATACAGGCGTCTTGATATTCCACATTTTAACCTAGCGTAATTATCTGCACATTGCTAGCCTACATACACACATATGAACTTATTGGGTAGAATACGATCATGGTGGTCTTAGCCAAGTGCAGAAATGCAAGACAAAGATTTAGATACTATTTATGCACATATGTACATACTTACATACATACGTGTATAGTAAACACGTAATGTGAATTATTTAAGATTTTATAAGAAAATTCCATTTTAATTTCTATGAGTAATTTAACAAATTAAAGATGCAGAGTTTTGGTTCACTCCCCGAACTCCTTAAATTGTCCTCGGCTTATCTTTTTACTACTGCCGAGTTGACTTTCTCGTTCGAAATGCGCAATCTAAATATCCGGCGATCAACTAAGAAATAATTTCATATTTCTACAATAGGAAGAAGAGATGAGGACTGTTGTAATATAACATTTATTGATGGTTTTGAAAAAGTATTTCACCATTTTTTGAAGATCCCGATAAAATCTCACGAATAATGTGTACTTAATGGGAGGCCCTTAACCAAGGCTACTGCACGATGGACCATATTATATAATTCAATATACTCGTACAAGTACAATTGGCGTTTTGTAGCAGCTGAAGCGAGCTGCTCATCCAATTTGCGGTGTACGTCTTGATAGTTTTCCAACAAATGGAGGGACCAAAAGTTTATACTAAGCAACCTCCAAATGGCTGATGGATTTTTTACGAGGAGCCTTTATTTCATGTCAGAAATACACTCAAAGGGGTTGACATTCCCTGTCGAGGGGTTACCGCTTACTCCCCTCAGCAAACTTCCAAATTTCATTTTTCTATTTCAAAGGATTTCATAAATGTTGCGAGGTTACTTGAAAGTGTTGAATTTATAATTTGAATCATGCTCGTATAGAAGGGGCGGTGTGCTTGCTAACAACATAAATTTGGGCTTTTGTTGTAATACCAAGTCAGACCAGCTGACTAGAAATAGCTGGTTTTAATTTTGTCAGAACAAATTATATTAAACTGAAGTTAAAAATTACTGGAGAGGTGGCTTTTCATATCTCAATCGCAAACGGCAGATTTTCAAGGTCTAAAACATTGAGTACGTCATTAAAATTGCTCATCCCAATTCAAATTTCATTTAAACTACTGATTAGCTAAAGAATCAAAGGAGGAGAGGCAAACCCGTTATTTGAAGGCCATTTTTGCTGCGTTTCGAGGTTACCATTTAGTACAACAACACGGTGAAGCTACGACCTTTATTCAAGCTTTTATCTTCATTTGTTTTAAATGTGTAATGTCGGCTTGGTGTGAAATCCAGGATTCGTACACGGTTGGGAAGGGGCATTTCAAGAGCAATCGAATGATAGCGAATAAAAAGTGCCGGGAACGTAAGTAGTGAAAGCTTCCATGCTGATCAACGATGGTTTCAGTCCATCTGCAGCTGGGACTGTGGAAATTATGCAGATGGATAGTGAAATCTCTTCTATTTCGACATTGGGCTGTGCGGAAATCGATTGTGTTGGATTGTCGTTTATGAGGACGCATTGGGTAGCAGCTGGTGCGCGTTTCACTACCCATGCGGCCACAATTATGATAATTTTGAATTTTTTCAAAAATTTAGTCAAATCAGAATGCTTTTTTATGTCGCACACTACATCTGGATTCGTGTGAATGTTCAACGGTAATTTGAATGCTAAATTAACAGTTCGTCCGCCATCAAACAAAGTGTCTGGAATGCCTGATGAAGTGAGTAGTTGCTGATTATTGTCTACGAAAGTAGATTATGGCCGGTTTGTTGAGGGCATATTCGAAAGCAGAATGAAAATATTTTTTGAACTACTATTAGCGCCTCGGCCAAAAATCGATATTGGGATCTTGATCAGTGGTCCGAATGCTGCATCTGTACTTTCTGTTGAATTACAATTTTTGCGTTTATAAGTATCGCCTACCATTCAGTGTTCAGTCCGAATAGGGATAAATAAAAGAAGACCCAGTACTTGACAGCGTGAAACAAATCTTGTCGTTCGTGCAGCAGCAACATCGTAGTCCTTAAAAATAGTATGGAAAGCCCAGCTAAACCCGTCAAAAGTTCGCTATATATGTAACACCGATCCACAAATCTCAGTTCCTCTTTCTTCGAATGAGGCTTCTGTTTTCTTTTATCAATTCGCAACCAAAGGCCGCACACCCTTCAAAAATTTCTTTTAGACTCATTAAAGTACTCCTCAGCACGGAATGATGTCCCTGATTAGGAACATTGTTTCCGTTTACCGGTAAGAAGAAACAAGAATGTTTATAAAAGCACATTTCTATTGTGGCGGCCGCGGCAGCCGTGAGGTAAGCATTGCGTAAGCCAAACGTCAGCATTAAGAGTTTTTGAGAGAAAGGTTTTCCGTAAAATTTATGGTCTTTTACGCGTTGGGAACGGCGATGATGGAACCATGAACTGTATGAATTATACGGCGACATAGACATAGTTCAGCCCAGATCGTGTGATACGGATGGATAAGAATACTCCAGCTTTGAAAGCTTTCAATGCAAAACCTGCTGGTAGAAGCAGGGGAAAGAACAGGTAGAAAAATACCTGGCGGTACTTGTAAGATGGTAAAATTCTAGTTTCAGAAACCGATGAAATATGTTCCATTTTTAGTTAAAAAAAAAACGATTAACTTAACTAAAACACTTTTTTGTAGCGCTCTTCTTGATTCTTTAAGTCATATTTACCATGTGTAGATCATCATTAATCTAGATTTCATTACAAATTAGTAGTGAAATACTCACATGTAATCTGTATGAGTTCCATTTATTTTTGTTACAGTTTTTACCAATGAATAAAATGTGTATATCTCCTGCACTTAAGGCGCCTCGCTGTGGTTGGTGTCTTAACAAAATTTTTTCCAACACACATATACATACATATGATTATATGTATGTATGTAGTTACGACACAAATTATACACGAACATAAGTTTTCAAATTTGGTTCGGCCCATTTCCAAATCGCACAGCGGACGTCCTCAGATAAATTAACATCCGCCACAACCGGACGGAAGTGCGCCTGCGCCTGCGCCTGCCTACCTTTGCAGATAGTTAAATGTCGGACAATTAGCAATGCTGACAAATTGCAAAGGAATGTCTATGGCGTCGTCGCACCTTATATGTTTAAGTGTATATAATATGTGTGTATGTATGGAAACTATGCACGAAAAAAAAAGAAAGGTAAAGCAAACGATAATGTGCTCCAGTCTCGAATACCGTACATTAAATGTGTGGGCAGACTAGTAAATATTCTCGTCTGATAAGAAGTAAAATTTTGTGTGCCTTTAAATTTGTTTAAGCACCCGTACATACATACATATATACATATTTAATTAATTTATTTCTACAACATACATAGTATAATAAAGCAAAATGTAACCGTTGAAATGACTTTCAGCCGAGCTCCTCCTCCGATTTGTGCTGAGCGTCTTCGATGAATGGGGCGTTGATATTTATGACAGAAATACCCTCGGAAAGCTTGACATTTCCAGCCCAGAGTTTGGTTAGTTTAAGCTGGCTGACCCAGTGGGTCTCACATGACGAAATACATCCATAGTGTTGCCAGGCACACTACATGCGACCAAGCTATGCCTCTACACTCCTGTTGTGCCTCTGGTGTGTAGAGCATTGCTGTAGTCGCTCT